TGGGTATATCTCGTGTCGCGTTGTTAATCCCGGAGCATGGTCGTTTATGCAAACGCGACGACCGGCATCATTTCAGCGACGTCGAAACCTCCTCCGAGGCTCCGTCGCGGGGATTCTCACGCGGCTCGATATTGCGAGTCACACAGCGGTCTCCGCCGCGAGAATCGCCGCGCAGTCTCACAAATCCGCGGCGCAAAGTATCGCTTCTCGCGGCGGACGACCCGCGAAATCCCACGATATTCCTCGTCCCGGCGTCGTACGACGTTTACCGCGCGCGCTACGTTCTCCTTCGCGCCTCGTGACAGCGGGATATAAAACAGCACCTGGAGTCGCCGTGCTGTCTCGCGACCGCGGGATTCGCGGTGAATTAGAAGCCGAAGTGTCGAGGATTGAAGTGTCGTCACGGGGAAACATTTCTAAATCGAATCTCGAAGACACTTGTTAAGCATCTCGATAGTATCGGAACTTTTGGTTGAATTGAACTCCGAAACATCGAGTGAAGAGATACATGAAGGTGACAAAATCCGAGTATACTGAGAAAAAACTATTTAATATATACGTGGTAATAATAAATTTTAAATACATTAAGTATATTTGATTCCTATCAGGGAAAGTATTGATACGGTGAGATACCTTGAGAAACAGCGATTGGTGCTGGTTTAAAGAACCAACACTTTTAGACATACGTGTTTACCCCGCAATCCTGATTTACATTTCAATCTCTCTGTCCCACCGTCGCCAAGTTTTTTACGCAAATTCTCGCTTCACGACACTTCGTGGGAAGCGCGAGCGCTCCGGAACACCCTGTATACCATTCGCGAACGAGCCGCCGCGGGGCAGTATCGAAGAGAGCGTGTGGCTTTTTGCCAAAGAAGCTTCGCAGATTGCACACCTGTGCGTGGTCGAGCCGAGAAGAGACCTCACCTATCGAAAGAGAGAGAGAGAGAGAGAGAAGAGTCAACTGGTCTCCATTTACTTTTTCTACCTTCGCGTATCCCCCGCGCACACCTCGGCACGCTTTTCGTTCTCTCTTTCTCTCCCCCTTTCTTTCTTTTCTCCCGCGTTATCCGTCATATCGTATCACCCTCCGCGTATTCCAGCTTCCCTTATACGGCGTAAGGTGCGTAAGGTGTGTGTCCTTCGCTCGTCGTCGCATCGAAACTTGCGTTTCTAAAAGCTACAGCTTCAGTTACGAATCTGCTCAGCGAGACTCCCTTTTTCTGACATTGACGATTGAATATCGTTTGCTCCTTGAACGTTGGTCGAATCGTTTCCTTAAAGTCTCGATTTTCTACGTCATTCAGTAAGCAAAATCATATCTTCTAATGTGAAGATATAACATTCTAATACGAAAGGAAAAAGAGGTAGACCGAGACTACGATTAGGTAGTAAAGTTATCTGTGTGTGAAAATCGGCTTCCAAGAAGAAGAGACTGCTTCTCGGACACGTCGGCCGAGAGTTGCTGCCTCGCTTTATTAACCGGTGACCGATTCCACCCTGTAAATTACGACGAGCTCCGGGGAATTGTTGCGACGCGTTATCATCCGGCGATACCTTCATAACCGCGGCCATACACGCGCTACATCGCCGGTTAAAAAGCGCCATTACTTACACGTCGGGACGACGGCCGACCCTTACGGAACGGCTGGTCGTTTCTTTCTCTCTCTCTCTCGCACTGTCCGCCGGTGCAAAATATAATGTAATCTGCCTGTAAGTAAGTCGAATGTTTCGCCTCGTGAGATCGTGCCCGCCCGGGACCCCGTGCGTTTACCGTTTCTTCTTTTTTCTTCTCTTTCTCTTTTTTTTTTCTCTCTCTCTCTCTTTCTCTCTCTTTCCCTTTCTTTTTCTCTCTTTTTACATAAGCCGGCTCAATTACGGCTCGGTCGTGTCAGAGGCGAGCGACGCCTCGCTTCGCCTCGCGGCGCGCATATATCGGTGTACTTTATGCCTCTGTGTGGTCCGGTTGTCAATGCATCGCGAAATTTAAGATAAGATCACGCGGGCTTAAATCCGGCCGACACGGCCGGGCGGCCGGCTGCACCATTACCGGAATCGGGGCCAAGCCGAAAGTTAAGTCCCTCGCGTTCCCGAACTTTAAAATGTACCGGTGCAACTGGCTCTAATTTATGATGCCTTTACGCGTCCCGCGTTTCGGTCCTCCCAGATTTTCTCACACGTGTAAATCCCGGTCGGTTTCCCAGCGGAGGCAAAGAGGCGAGAGAGGAGCGATGAGGATAAGGGCGGAAGGAGGGGGGAACTTGTGAACGCTGCGAGCCCCACGACGACCGTCTCGTTCTCTTTTTCGACACAGAGAGGAAGAAAGGCGATAGAGAGAATATGCGTTTACTCGTACAAATTCCACTTGACATTTAATTGACGGGCGTTAATACGGGTTGACTACTTTGACCTGCGGCGGCCAACCGAAAACGCGCACGAATCGAAACGTCTTTCATTGAATTATTTAATCGAATGTAAAAGTTACCGCTCACGGAGATGGAACGACGTTCCCAATCTGTTATACATTTCGCGAGGTTTCTTCTGTCTTTCTGTAGTATGCAAAGTTCGTATAAAGGGAGTACGGTCGGCGTTATGCAATTCTCGCGACTTTTAATCTTACCGAGATTCCCGGGACAATTTAGAATTAATTTCTTCTAGCGAAAATATCGAAAAGCACGAGGGAAGTCATTATTTACGACAACTTTTCACTCTTCAATGTATCTCTTTAGCTGAGTCTCCAATTAAAATTCTGTCAAAGTCCATTTAATAAATAGATCGGAGAAAATAATTTTGTTGTTATTTAGCCCGAAGCCTTATATATATGTGAAAAAATCGTGTGATAGTAAAAAGTTTTCAATCTAGGGAACGGCACATAACGCCGACTGTACTACGCATCCCTTCGTTCACGCGTGATTCGAGCAAGACATAGTTTCACACGGTCCAATTGAGTGTCAAGTGTCGATCGAACGTTGGCCAGTTGGACTATTTTCAACTGTGTCATTCGATTGATTGAATTTGCGCGCACGCCAATTTTGATGTGCGCATATCCCATTGTAAAGATACAATCAAGCACAAGGAACGCGACTATTTGTGCCTCTCGGGAGACCTCATTTAAAACGCTAAATATTATTTTGAGACGCGTGATGATATGGTTAAATGAATGAGCGTAATCCTTGGCTTGTATTTGGACAGGAGAGTCCAGCGTACCAGCGAAGAATGATCTTTTGTACATTGCATCACGATGTAATAATAAATTAGCTCGCATTGGTCCAATTGAAAAACTCACTTTGTGCGAGTATATATATATATATTTTTTTTTTACACAACATTTTGCAACAACGCGTTCCAACGCGGTCGTGTTGGCGATGCTTTCAAGATGGATGAAGTGGGAGGCCACACAGATAGTAGTCGCGACGCAATTGGATCCTATTAAATGCCCAACAATCTTAGTTAGAAAGCCATTTCTATCACGCGAAGGCTGCTGCTGCTGCGGGGAGGAACTGACAGTAGATTCCCAGGCCCGAACGAAATCAATTAAGTCGCAATGAAGAGGATCTTGAGAAAAAGAATGAAAGGAAGAGAGCGGTCCTCGGCTCCTTCTTTGAGACAAAGCCGCCGATCGCGGTTCACGCCGGACACATCCGTTCTAAGAAAGTCGAACCCCGAAAAGAAACGAGACAGATCTCGGAACGTGTCCAGTCTGTCGCGGGTGCTTGCCTTTGGGTATCTTTACAGAGAGAGAGTGAGAGAAAGAGAGAGAGAGGGTGGGGGAGAGTCTTAACGATCTCGGGATCCGGGCGACTTTGGGGGCAAATTATCGGCCTGCGGCCAATTACCAGGTGGAGGCGCCGATATATAGAGGAGAGCGGTTGCGAGAGAGTTCCGAGAATCGTCCGCGGCTAAAAATAAGATCCCACCCGGGAGCGGTGATTATGTTCCGAAAAAAGAAGAACCGGGCGAAACGCTCTCCTCGTGTGCAGGTGGCGGTGGGATGGGCGAGGATGGGATGATGATACGGACGAAGAGAGAGAGATAGAACGAGAGGGGGTGGTGGGGGAGAGAGAGAGGGCGAGAAGAAAGAGAGCGAGAAAGGAAGGCCCCCTCGCGATGGTGGTGGTGGTGGATCGTGCGCTGGGGCCCCCGTTAATGAAGTTGTCGGTTGAGGACGTTTACAGGTGGGGCCTACCTGCGTGTGGTCCATTCACAGCGACTGCTGCAGGACTGGTTAAGAGTTGCTTTACATCTCTACCCGTGTGCAGGTCGGGCCGGCCGTAGCAGAAAGCTACGGAGGAAGAAGGAGAGGAGGAGGAGGAAAAGAGAGAGAGAGAGAGAGAGAGAAAGAAAGGGAGAAGATGATAGGGTATATTGGTATATCCAAACGTATGTCCGTCGTTACGTATACAACGAGCGATCTCGCGCTCTCTCGCGGTCCCACTGACGACGTACGCGAAGTCGAGTTCCCGGTTTCTCTCAGCCGAGAGTCGTATTTTTTTATCTTTGTTTTTTTTATTTTATTTTATTTTCTTTTTAATCGCTTCCCTTGGATCGTTCCGAGACTTCGTCGCCTGAGCGCGTGGAAACAGTCTGATTGAGAGAAATAGAATTGGAACGAGTAAAAAGAAGAGAAGATAAAACAGAATATTTTTTTAACGAGAAGTGCCGGTTATTTTCCGTCGCGTTTTAAAATAACGTGTAATAGTGTAAATAAATTGATGAATTTAGTGAAGGTATACACAGAAAGACCTGTTGCCCTGCGTAGCTTTTTTAATAATGCAGCACCATTGAGATTTTGATAAGCTTTAGAATATTTTCAGAACGGCTGAAAATAAGAGATACGCGTGTTTATGTAACATATGTACATTTTCAAGGGTCGAAACAACCCCTCGAAAGAATACTTGATGCTGTAATAACTTGACCGGCAGAATACTGATTTTTTTCTGCAAAGTTTCTGAAAAGAATTACAACGGTCTAACGTTTGGTCTGTGTTCTTTCCCTTTTTCCAGATAATGCATCGCCAGCAAAACTCTCAGTCGTCGGCGACCAACGAGTTCGCCATGTACCCGTCGGCCGCGTATCATTCCTCGCATTCGACGCTACCCTCGTTGACGTCGCTCTCGTCGCCGTCGTCGGCGACGTCGACCTCGTCATCGTCGGCCCCGTCGTCGTCGAGATCGCTCTCGGCGTCGTCCTCGCCGATTCTGCTGTCTGTCCTCACGTGGTCGTTGACGTTCCTGCTAATCTCGTCTTGCATCAACCTGACGGACGCGCGCACCCTCAACGGCCATCCCCTGAGCAAAAGGTCCTTCTTCGACATCCAGTGCAAGGGCGTGTACGACAAGAGCATCTTCGCCCGTCTCGACCGCATCTGCGAAGACTGCTACAACCTCTTCCGGGAGCCGCAGTTGCACATGCTTTGCAAGTAATTATCAACGACGACCATTCGAATATCGACGATATGTCGCCCGGTGTTGCACGTCGAGGTACATGCATAGGAAGAACTAGCCACAGGAACTAAAATTTAACCGTGGCAGGTAAAATGAGGACAGCTAATGTTGTTGCTACCGCGGCTAATAAATTTAATTGCAGTAGCAACGATATTAGCTGTTGGAAATAAAATGCATCTGTTGCAAGGTGCAACTCTATTCGCTGTAGCGCCTTAATTCGAACAGCTAATAAATTTAGCTGCGGTAGCAATGGCATTAGCTCCCAGGTTGCTAATTCTTTCTCTGCGTTCACGAGCATACGCGTTGCCGTTTTTCCGAATCGCTTCGTATATTCAGCATAGGTCCAGTCAAGAAGACGAGCCACTCTCGTTGCTCGTAATTGTTTCTTTCCGTGATAGCGTATACGGTCGTATTCATCTGAGATGACGTAACCGGATACATTACCGGGCTGCATTAGTAGTTTTAACGATGTACCTCGAAACTCGTTCGAATGAGTAAGACCGGACACAGGTAAACGATCGTTCGAATGAGTAAGACTGCTAAGGGTCGGCTGACAAGCCGCCGAGACATTCTAAAATACGCGCTGTCAAGGTCAAGGTAGTAGTAGTAATCAGAACATGTGACTTGGACTCTGTCTTGTCCATCTGATCAATCTTCATTTAACTTCCACCGGTCTTATAAAAAAGAAAAAGGATTAAGGGAATAGCATAGTTGTATTATTAAATAATTCTTACAAAAAGCAACCAGCGTTTAGCTCTTACTTGCCTTTGATTGTAGATTTCAAAGAAATCTTGATACCCACTCAATAAAATTCAGAGGTCTAACAAGACACGAAAAGCTTGCAGACAAATTTTTAAACAGTTCGGTTAAATTTCCCGTTAGTCACGGTGAAACAGAGTAGCTCACATTCATCGCGTTCACATCACACTTACATTTACGTAAGACCAATACGTGCAAGAAGCACTGAAAGAGTAGCCAGTGTTTATATAACAACATTTCGATAGTCGCCCCTGCATTACAGATGGTTATTAAGTTCATCGTCGAACCTGATTTGTCTGATTCCCTTAATTCAGCCAGCTTAGAAGCATATCGTACTCGCGAGGTTCATCTCAATTCTCGCATCGAGAATTAGAAGCGCGAATGCGGCGGCAGTGCGGAGAGGAAAGTCGCGAACGACTTCCGCCGCGTGATTTCTACCTTCAAAAATGTCGACGACGGCAGTGGTAGCGGCTTGGTGAACAACGGCCAAGGTAGACGGACGCGCGGATACGTACCTTTGTACGCGCACACGTGCTCCGATCTCGGTGCCACCGCCGTATATACGCGAATACCCCCGGTGCGCTCGCGCGTTCACCGCACGTCGGCACGTGTATCGAAATGGAATGAGATTTCTCTTCTATTTATAGCTCGCGCGAGCGAATGCCAACGCACATCCGCCGCTACCTGCCGTTTGTGCCGTGCCGCGTTAAGCCGCTTAACGGCCGTCGCGAAAGAGCCATTGTATTGGCAAACGGGTTCAACGCGAAAAAGGGAAAGAGAGAGAGTGTGAGAGAGAAGGATTGACGTCCAGCTCGAGAGAGCGCCTGCGGTGTGGTTATTTAAATTTAGAAAAAATTTACGTGAAAATTTCGCGAGGATGGATGGATGGCTTCGATGAATTGCCAATTGAAAGTAATCATTTAAAAATTATCAAACATACTTTTTTTTTTTAATCAAGCGATATCAAGTTGTGCATCCGTTCTGACGAAAAAATACTGCAAGTAAGTGTTTGCCAAGGAGTATTCAAACAATTATTTTACTTGGATTAAGTAAATATTATTTGAATGCAGCACTCTTTTTCTTTCAAGGTGCTGCATTCAAGTAATGTTTATTTAATCCAAGTAAAATAATTACTCCGATAATCCTTAGCAAATATTTACTTGAATACTAAAATAGCACTTTTTTCTATCACTATTATTTAGTATATATATTTAATCTACTTATTTTTCAAATGGATTGTTTATTAGAAGAAAAAGATACGATTGCATCGTTTGATATAACTGCAGAAACGGATATAAATATAGCAGCGATAGATCGACGCATCCATCCTGTTAGCGAGGAATGCCGGGAAGAAATTCCCCGAATCATAGTCGCAGTTTAATCATAATATAGTATTACAGGAAGTAGATTTGTTACGTGACGAGTGTACTTCCTTTTGCATTCTTCGGAATTTCCAGGTCTTACAAAGCGCCGGCCGGCGAAGTCGATGGCGTTGACTCACGATTCACCGTAATTCTTTTCTTTTTTCGAAATGTTTGCAGGAAAAATTGTTTCACGACGGACTACTTTAAAGGATGCTTAGACGTGCTGCTGCTGTCGGACGAGGTCGAGAAAATCCAAATGTGGATCAAACAACTCCACGGAGCTGATCCTGGGGTTTAGGTAGCTTATTTTTCTTTAGTTTATGATTTCTCCTCTTATGCGCCCCCTTTTGTTTCTCCGCTTTTCGTACATATATATAACGTACTAACCGTGTCCGCTTACTCTCCATTATCCTTCCTCGTCTCTAATGTCCTCGTCCCGATATGTTTGAAAATACGTGAACGTTTGAAAATTACGTAGACGTCCGCGAGATAGTATATTCCACCGAGAAAAGTAAGTTTTGGGGGGATTTAACAGAATTTTAATCATACGATAACGACACGTGTATAAAGATTATATGTGCGGCGGTGTTTAGATCGAAAGCTCTGTGCAAATGCTTCGGACAAGGTTGATAATAAGCGATGAGAGACCGGTAAGAACGCGAAGATCCGAGAATAATGTGTTACGAAGGATACAAGAGAGAGACAATTAAATACCTCGCTTACCGATTTGAAGTGTAAACGCATCGAGTTGCCGCAGTATCGCATGCATAATCGATAATTCGCGAATAAGATCGAATTTGTCCGTGAGAGAAAAACCGGCTATCGTCGAGCTATCGACGCGTATTTCTTCCCGTACCTTATTTTGATTTCATCATCATTTGAAATTACATTTACGTTGCATTTGGATGCCACTACTTGGACGAACATAACCGCGTGTAATATAGATCTCTTCGCATCGACGTAATGAGTACGAGAGATTAGGTAATTTTGCGCATGCTTATACCAACGAGCGATGCTGCAATAGACAGCAAATAGATTGCAAATACGTTCAATAGAATGCGAAATGTCGAGTCGTATTGGAATTTGTCGCGACTGAAGAGCGAAGGCTTCAGCGAGTTCGAATATCGCGCGAAATCTTGAGAAAAAAATCACGTAATGACGTATGTACGAACACGAGTGTTATTATTTAACTTAACACTCGCACTTAATTTGACAACAATGCAGCATTGCTCTGGCGAAGTGATATACGCAACATCTCGTACATACACATAGAAAAATATATACTGCGTTCAAGTAAATATTACTTATTTCAAATATTTCTAAGTTTATATATCCGCAAATATATCATTAATTTCATCAGAAGCATCAAACTTACTCAAAATATATTCTGAAATCTAGTAAGTTTAATATTTTAATAAAAAATACTAAATTAAGACAAACTTCGATTTGTGCTCATTCAAAATAACCGAATTTAATTTTTTTCTTTGATAAAGTTTATATTTTTAAAAAGAGAATCATTTTTTTTTTTAATACGCGGTGAGTTTTTCTAAAATTTATGATGAGTATATTTTAAGCCTATTATCAAGGAAATTTTTTTTTATATAACCATTATTTAAATAAGGAAAGTAATTGCTTTTCTTGGTACTAGAATAATATTTTTCTCTGTGTACATCTATTGTACATTCGATCATACTTCAAAATCCGTATTTCCATCTCGCGCCTACTCAATCCCTCGTGTTATCGGCGACGACGATTTTTCAGCAGCTGGTTTTTTTTTTTACAATGAAAACATTTTATATGAACGTTTTTGAGGTGATTTTTGGCCGATCGGCCGATATTTTTTGCAGCGCTGTTTTCTTCGCTGTGGCGAATAATGGAAGAGGAGGCAGATCGACTCAGGACATTTTTTTTAGATGGCAACGTTTGCGATTTTTGACATTTTTTGACATTTTTCACATTTTTCACATTTTTAAGCGTTTTTCCAAACAAACAACAAAATGATTCGCACACTCTACACTCCTATGACATATGAATTGTTGTCATTGCGATGTCGAGTGTAACAATCGATACCTTCCCACACGCATCCCAATCTAACGCACTAACAATTACTGACAATTCACAGACCTGTTCGATACGAGGCATAATTGCGTATAAAATTTTTAAACGTTAAAATTTCCTAATTTATACGAAAGATGGAATTCTAAAGTTTCCGTCAGAAATGTCCAGATAGTAGCGATGTGATCAAGCTGTACCTAAATTCACTATCCAACTTGCACAGTCCAATGATATCATGAATTAAAATTAAAAAAGCGATCCTTCTCCTGGTGTAATTATCCGTGGCTCGAAATTAATGTGGAATTATTTTCCACCGGAATCAACTTGCAAATTACAATTTACGAATTTACGAACGCGCGTAAGAAAACGACCGCCGGGGGTTGTTTGTCAACTCACGAGAAATCGGAACTCGACCCCACCCACTTGCGAATCCATCGGTCTAACACGCCCGAGAGCAGGTCTCGTGAATGCACATAAAATCACCACCGACATCGAGTGTCAGTGGTGCTACCGCTGCTGCGTAGTAACTGTCTAACCGATCGATCTCTCTGTTCTCGATCTCTGTTCCCGCATCGCAGGCAAGACTGCTTCAGCACAGCATATTTCACGAGCTGCATACAAGTGCTGCTGCTTGAGGACGAGAAGGACAGACTCCAGGAGATGGTCGAGTACCTAGGACGCAAGTAAACGGGATACAAGTCGGAGCAACGACGCGCCGCACCACGATGGGGAGAGACACGTGCACCCGTAAATAAAAATACCCACACACAAACACACACGTACATGCAACATACAGATACACCACAATGCGCATGAGATACACACACGCGAAGAGGCCGAAGAGGAGGAGGAGGTTGACCGACGAAGAACGCCGGTCTCCTCGTGTCCGAGGGGGAGCGACAAGTGACGAGGTTCCGAAGAATTCCACCTGGAAAATTGACGACGTGGAATCATCACCGAAGCCGCCGACTCGATAATCAGCCGGCCGGCGAAGTAGCGACGAGGTGTCCCCTGCGACGTTCATCGAGTCGAGGAAAAACCGAGGAGAGGATCGCATCGTTCACGTTCACGGAACGTACGTACGGTTTGTCCGTCTTGACGTGGCTCGATCGCCGATTCGAGATCGATACGATCGTGTCTAGTTTGTTCGACGGATATCGGTAGGATGATGGGTATCGACGTCCTGACATTGTGACACTGACAGGTATTGGCGGAGCGATGAGAGAATATAAGCGCGAGAAGACGCGAGAAATTTTTTGCGACAGAGATAGAGAAGGGAAGGGAAGAGAGAAAAGTAGAGAGAGAGAGAGAGAGAGAGAGAGACGCCGGCCTTTCGCGGTGAGTCGCGTCGTTATCTGACACGCACGGTGAAGAACGAAGCGCGAAACAATAGCACACTAAATAGCGAGACACACGAGACACAAGCAAAACGATACGGATCGAGCCATACACACGAAACGCGTACATACACACACAGCAAAAATCCATACGAATTCTAGTCGATAAAATATCCGCGCTCTTGCGCGCTACGCTACGTTTTTATTCGATTTATCATTATTATTAATTATTAATGTTAATCGTCGTCATTCTCATCACTATGTAATAGTAATGGTAATCTATATTATTATTATTATTAATATTATTCGATTACTATATATATATATATATATGTATGTATATATATGTATATGTTATGTCACGGTTATTTTTTATCATTATTATCGCTGTTCTCATCTGTTCATTATTTAGTTGACGATTAAGCCCTCAGTCATTTATCGTACCGGACACGCGATAGACGGATGAGGGTGTGTATATCCGATGGTGTATCTGCGAAATTGTGCAAAACCTTCACTATTACGTCGCGTAACGTCACGAGAAAAGAAACTCATGTGGTAACGAACGCGTACTCGTGAATCCCGACGAATCGAGAGGCGAGATCTCCCTTTTCTTCCGGCTATAAAAATGTTTTCTCTCGAGCGAGCGTCATGGAGATGTTGGATCCAAGATCCACGTCGGTCACTCGAGAACCGGACCGCATTATAATATATAATAATAATTATTATTAATATTATTATTCTCATAGCAGAATTATTGTTGTTATCATTGCGACATATGGCGACGTCTCCGCCCGGGTGAACGCACCGCTGGAAGAGACATACTCTGGCGATGCGGACGACACATACACAACGTTCAATTGTGAGAATCGAATATATTAGTAATGCGCGGCACGCGTGAACATTCTCGAAAGCTTTGTCGCGGAAAGAGAGAGACAGGAATGACGACAAAAAAAAAACGAAAGAACGAGAGAGAGAGAGGGAGTCTTTCCTGTAATTTATTTTTGCCGAACACGAGCAATGTCCGCGAGCGTTTCACACGCGTGTATTTTCTCTTCGTGCGGCCAGCAGCTCGCTCGAACGGAGTCGTGCATATAAAGACGCGTAGTATTTATTTATTTTTTCACGTTCTTAAGTTATAAGCGACATATAGCGAAGCAAAGTATTAGCGCGCGTACCTAACCGAGAGAGGAAGAGAGAGAGAGATAGAGAAAGAGCGAATGAATGAGTGTGTGTGAGAGAAAGAGAGAGAGAGTAGTGTTTGCGAACGCAGGGGAGCGCGCGAGTCCTCAAAGCCGTCCAATTGGATGATTGCCTGTTGTACAACGCGCGAAACAACCCCGGGGAGAGCCCCGGGGATCGAGGGACCAGGGACTTGTCTCAAACTCGGCCAACGAGGACGAGACGAGCATAGGAGAAATAGTATACGGAGAATTAATCGCGCCCACCCCCTTCGAATGAACCGTCGGAACAAACTAAATTTCCGAGCTATCGCCCGGCAAACGTCAATTAACAATAATATTATTGCGTCAATGTTAAAATTTCTCACTCGACAATACGTAAGAGTGCGATATAACATGCGTTGTATGTAACAATTACATCGTCGAGCGGGAAACTTTTAACATCGTAACGTTTACTGTTAATTGGTATTGATCGGTTTCGTTCATTTAGCGATATCAGCATTGTAATAAAAGTGGTCAATCGGTTTTCCACACGACGAGGTCACCAATCGATCGTAGTCGGACTTTTGCCGCCACTCGCTCGACATTACCCTCGCCGTGTGTTTATACAGATGACTATTCGATTCTCGTTTCCCCCAGACATGATGTTGAATGAAGCAGAGTCGAATTAATGACGACAATACGGGACACGTTAATGTACTTTTCGAATTTTTGAACACCGACGGTAAGAAAATCGATCGAGGTCAACGTCAACCGACACTAGTGAGGTCTGAAGTAGCCGAAAAGGTCCTAGAGTTTTTCCGCATACGATTGTTGCGCAGCGTGCGAAAGACGGTTTCGAAGACGCGCATCACGACGAACCCCACCGTGCCGCGACACATCATTGCCACTACGACCGAAAGAATTGTACTACCGAGCCATTCCAAAATCAGTATTGTAATCTCATTCCATCTCCGCGATTTTCCTCGAGCTTCAGGATCGGCTTCGGGAACTTGCGCAGCCTTGCTCATACAAAATACTAAAAAACAAAAAGAGAAAAAAAAACGAAAATTCGAATTCTAATTTATTTAGCATTTACTTAGAGATCGTATCTCCCCTTTTTCTTTTTTTTTAATATTTTTGTTCTTTTTCGTTTCCTTTATTCTTAACCCACGCGTAGCCTAACCCGCGTCACTTGTCCGCATCAAAGCGTGAAACGTCGTTGCGTCTCCATTGTATACGCTGAATCGTGCACTCCGTGAAGTCTTTACCTTCTCGTTTACTCCGAAGCCAACCCAATAACTCGACGTCCTCCGACGCGGCCCTCGCGAATCGGCCCTTGTATTCGACAAATCAGTATTCTTATTTATGCTATGTGAAAAACACCGTCGCGAATGACGCGCAACGCGTGTCGAACAGGCGGAGATGTTTTATGTAAAAGTCGGCAAACTCTATCGCTAGAAACTCCTATGTGTTTATATTATAATAGTATCGCAAAAGAAGATCTGAAGGAACATCGCGTAAAACTGGTCTCGAACTTGTAACAACATTATGTGTATAAATATAGACATGTAATATTATAACTACATCGAGATATATATATATACATATATATATATATATCTATATATTACCTTGAAAAAAATATAACGCCTCGCACAAGAATATACTTGTTTTATGTATTTCCAGACACACACCTCATTATTATTATTATTGTATTTCGCGACACATATTCATGTTTCCGTATATTTCATATTTTGCAGATTTTTGTCGTGAAAAATATTTTCACAATAAGATTAATTTGTCAGGACTAATTTGGACATTCACCTTACATAGATAATGCAGCAATTTATCCGCCATTTTCTGGCCATATCGACAGAGAAGGAATATTTTATTCGATTTCTACGTTCTATATGATTTCCATGTATACACGCATATTTATATTTCTGTACATTTGAGCTTTTCATCATTTTGTCACCCACTGTTATTTGTTTGCTCTTCTCGCTTACTTAACTCTCCTCGGCTCTTAATTCGCCGTAAATGTCGGATATTCGACTCACCGTTATCTATCGGCGAAACGGCGCCTCCAATACCAGGAATTCCATCGCGCCGTCGACGAACCGTTATCGCACAAGACGTTCCGTCTTCGTGGATGACTCGGAATCTTCTTGAAAGAGTCTCTCGCGAACGCGCGGTTTCGCGGGAGAATCATTCGCGTGACGTCGCGTTATCGATACGAACTTGGCGCCATTGTCGACTACTAACCTCTTCGTTCGCCCGCTTCCGCCAGCTCGGCTTGGGTTTCTTCGGGTGAACGCGCGAAACGGAGCGAACTGAACGCGCACGAACGACAGCACACGGACAACGCGTAATTGCGCGTCGAAATGAACGCCCGACGCGACAACTCGGCTCAATTCGCGCGCAAAAAACGGACGAAATTGCTGACTAACGCGATGCTACTTGCAACTCACGAAAAACGTACTATCGAAAGCGCTTAAAATGGTGTCACGTGACCAACGTCACACCGTTGAGAGTCACGTGACTGTTCAGTCAGTGATACCAATGATGTCACCGAGCTGCACACGCACGCACGCAATCGTCCGTAAGCGTATCCGCTGTCTCTTCCTTCCCGACAGTTTTTGTTAACCACGACTGTTACTACAGCTATCTCGTCGGCGAGACTCGTCGGTGCTATCATTGCTTTCATGTAGCATCACTGCTTTCCAGCCGAGATATCGGGGGCACACGGCTGGGCTGCGTTCGAGAATATCGCCCGGATGATCTCCCTCCCTTTTACTGGAACGCTGCGGGTGCACCCGAGTGATGTTTCCGAATGCACCCCTATATTCGTAAGTACAAAAGTACGATGGTACGAGATAAAAAAGCGTAGGGTTTCATAAATCGGATTAAAATTATTGATTATTCAAATGCGAAAGATTGTGTTTTTGCTTATAAATACAAAAATAAAAGTGGGAACCGAAAGATGGAGAGTGTAGCTCATTGGATATCGGCTGCGAGAACCATTAGTCCTGGTCCACAATCTTGTTGCAGGTCATAAGCCATAAGTAATTGATCAATCGCAATTGATTATTCTTCTATAATTTTACTGTAATTGGTCCATTTCTTACGGCTAAAGTTTAGTACACCTGCTTTACATTATATTCTTAACATATTATAAATATATTATCTTAAAATATTTAAAAAAATAATATAGAAAAAAACGTATAAATAAAAAATATATATTGAATGAGATTTTTCTCCTATTATTTATAACTAGCGTAAGCCGGCTCGAGAGAACTATTGTAAGAAAGAGTGAGATTGATTATTATTTATGGTGGCTACCTGAAATTATAAGAATAACATAAATAATGATAATAGAGTTTGTGTTAGTGAAGCTTTTATTAAATTACTATACGAATTATCAACAAATCGATAACTACTCGTCATTTCAAAACGACACATATTATATTATTATACATTAGAGCAGCGCGCGTTGTGCGGATAGTAAATTTTGTATGTGAGTGTGTGTTGTGTATGTGTATATGATAAAGACTAAAAATATATGATGTATCAAAGCAATATAGGTATCTATAGAAATTCTCAATTTATTGATCTTTGTTTGAACACATCGATTTCGGCCGCCATATCTCGATTCCCTCCGTACCGGATATCGCAAGAACACTATTCAGATAATCCATCTGTAAAATAAAAAGTACGAGAACGTTTTGCTGTTGTTATACGTTATAAAAATAGCATGCTCTTTTTTTTCTTGAACAATTATAAAAATCAGAGAAAGATCAAAGGATGCAGCAAAACTAACATTTGTCAGTTAAAGAGCCGATTTAGAAATTTAAGAGTAAAAAAATTAAATGTCTAAATTTCAGTTAACATTGAGAGATACATATAAGTCGGTATTATCGTAGTAGAATATTTAAGACCGTCTTAAGTTCATCTTCGGATATTTCGTAGCCAATGAAATGAGTCTTCCATCGTCTGAAGATAAAACTTCTGAAGATAAACTTAAAACGGTCTTAAATGTAAAATCCGATTAGGAATACCGACTATAATGTAATAGTACGCGAGATAGATATACTCACACTGGCGACTTCCCCGAAGCGAAAAGTCAACGTAGCAAGACACTTCGGGGGATCCGTGGGACTCGAAACTCTCACCGTTCCGTCCGTCGAGCTCGTTATCAGACAACCGCGTGTCTGATGCACCCCTGTTATCCCTTTCTTGTGTCCTGTGGCGTACGACTTAACTACTGCAAAGTCGTTTTTCGGATTTAACACGTGCAATTCCGCGGCGCTGTCGCCGACATAAACCCAATCACGGTGCATGCTCATGCACATAGGAAACGCGTTTTTCGAAATATTAACGCATCTTAGCATTTGCCTAGCTCTCTGATCCCAAATGGTCACTTTCTTGTCTTCGCTGGCGGAAAGGATGTACGATGAATTCATAGCCAACTTGATCACAGCCCTCGAGTGCGGATGATACTCGACGATCGGCTTGTGTCCCGACCTCGAGTCGTAAACGAAGACTGTACTGCTGTATGAACCGGCCGCAAAGACCTCTTGTTCTGCGCACGACGATACACACAGCAGCGCACCCCCCAGCGGGCCTCTCCTGAAAATTGTATGATGAGCCATTATTTTCCAGAAAAATTTCACGTTTACCACGATCATTCTTTTCGATAATAAAACTGCCGGGAAGGTTACGGCTCCGTTATTGCATACGTCTCGTAAGTTTTCATTTGGACAAGACCAGTGTTGGTGAGCATCCACGATTTGATGCTCTGGTCCCAACTGCAACTGTAAATCGTGTTGTCGATCGCCGTTAAATCCCAAATCCATCCATTATGCGCTTGCTCTACGCAAGCTGCCTTCTCGCGTTCATTCTCCTGTGTAGGCAGTTTCCAATAAACCAACGAGCGATCTCTTGCACCAGATATACAAGTTGTACCACTCTGTGCGTCAGAATTATATTTATTGTTTTTATAAAAATAGATGAAACTATTTAAACACACACACACACACACATATATATATATATTCAATGTTTACTACCTACGTGCATTAACAATAGAGCATCTATAGTACTGTACTGTACATCTGTGAGCAACAATTTCTCCATAGATTCTTGATGTCTCCATAGTTTTACTTGTTTTTCAAGTGCAACACATGCCAGCCTCCAAAACAGATTGTTGTCTTTTGCTGAAATTATACGTGATCCTTCATATCAAGAATACAAGGAAACAAGGAAACAAGGAAAATATTTACAGTATATATTTACAAGTCAAATAAAATTGACAGGAAAGACTTTCACTACATATTTAGTCTTAATTACAAGTACTTTACAGTTTGTACAAGAGTGCAAAATTAAGAGTAAATATTTAATTAAGAGACAGTTATAGAAAATAGATATTACAAAGATTCAAGCTTAACCATAATAAACAGAGCTGCTCAAACATATTTTATTGTATGATATCTCTTAATTGCAATATTGTTTCGCTCTTGAATAAAGGTGAGATAATCTCTATCTTACTTTATTAAATAGAAAGCAATTGTTTCAGCTTACATTGGTATATGCATTGTTTGAACAGCGCTGACGCAGAGTAAAGTGGTGTGTTTGAGATTTATTTACAAAATGAGTGATTGTGCAAGGCGTAAGGTGCTATCAATTTGAGCTAACCGAGACGCAGAACCGGGTAGCTAGCATCTGTCCACATACGGTTAACTCGCGCTTTCCACAATGAGTCATCCCTTAAAATTAGATAGAACTGTTTGCATACCGGGCTCAAAGTGTATGCTAAAGTCGACGCCTCTAAGAAAGAGCATATATGCAGGAATATCTGAAATGCAGCATAAATAAATTCAACAGGAAACACATACCCACAAAATCACGCACCCACACACACACACACAATAAACACTTAAGAAAAAAGAGAGAGGCAACACTTGCTGACACTTTAATTGCATTGACAAGCGGCTAAAGGGACAAAATGATAGCAGCGACAAAAGGATGCATTTCGCGCGTGAGTGACGAGGAGGAATTGCCGTTCCTCGGGGGGACAAACCTCAATCGGAAGATCCAACAGTGACATTTGTGCATCTGTTTCGCTGTCGTGCGCACAACTCGCGCTTTCGTCGCACATTTTTCCTCGTACGGTGCGTCGTCAAATCTGATAATTTTCATTCGATCTGCTCGGAGCTAACGCACAAACACCGACGAAAATGTAGAAACCGTCGCGATACTACGAGGACACACCGTTGCTTATCGTGTCGATCGATCGTATTTCTTAAACGGTGGTGGATATCACCGTCGATCACCTTATAGAGTTCAGTGCTATTAGCGGGACGCTTTTTCTCGTGTATGCACGAGCAACGAAAGCGAATCCAGCGACGTACACGTTGCATGTGCGTACAGGCGCGAACATTTTGACAGACGTCAGATCGAATAAGGTTAGGTAAGTAGATAAGTGAATATTCAGATAAACTAGTAATTAGATTTATTAATATTGTTTGCTAAAATATGCGGATAGGAGTATTCAAAAAGGGACCATTGAAGATAAATTACGGGCATTCGAAATATGTGCGGATAATTTTTAGAAACATCAAACAGAGGCCCTGTGAGCGGCTTCTTTCCTGCGAGTTCGATACTTCATTGCGATAGCATTAAACACGCATGCGCATGAAGGAGCTGCTAGAAACACTGCCTTTGTTTATACCGTTTAAAATACATTGTCCTTGTTTATATCGTTTAAAATACACATATTAAGGGGAACCGGGGTATTGTGGGATATTTTTGAGTTTGCTTACTTGAAATGGTCTTATTATTATTGCAAATATGAAAAACAAAAGCGACTAATATATTAACCGGTTCGCACGGCAGTGTTCGTCTTCGTTTCGAGATCGGGATACGAGCCGATCGTAAAGTAATTTGTAGAATTTGAATTCAAAGAACAACTTCGCAACAATAGACAAGAAATTGCATTTTAGTAACACAAGTTCCAACGGTGCAAATAAAATTCACAGATTATGTAACATATTTTATTTAAAAACAGTTATAATGCTCTATGTATTGTTTAAATTCTTTTAATTTTAAACAACATTAATAAATCTGCGAGTAATTTATTAACATTTACACGTGCTAAAAATATCTACATTCAAAATATATTTCTTTTTCTTAACAGTTCACTGTCTTGCGATAATTATAACATTTACGATTAATATATTATTTACATGTAATTTTGTTTTCATATATATATATATATAATTTATTAAGTAGCAATATTCATATTATATATATATATAATTTATTAAGTAGCAATATTCGTTTTTTTGTATGTATGTAAAAGCCTATATAAAACTTATAAACATACTTTTCACATTAGAATATTTTTTTTGTTTTCATCTGCTACTGGATATACATGTCTATACAGAGAATTTCTAAATACACATGTATATTACAAATGTGTGCGATATTTCTTAACTTGTCCAATTGGTTTAAGCTTTTTCGTCTTCGCTATGATTGTCTTTCTTCGATAACGCATTCGATTTCTCGCTTTTGACGTTACCAAATGAGAACAACCAAAGCGAGGACACAGGAGCCTTAAATCATTGAAATATTACAATTAACATGAAAAGCATGTCCCCTACACCACATACTGATACTGTGTGTTCGTATAAAATATATTTCTTCGTACTATAAAATTCAAATGTATATTTTCTCAGCTTAATTGTGGAAAATATATATCTTTTCAGCTTAACTGAAATTAACATTTCTATTACCTATACTTTTATATTCATAAAGACACACTTTATCTCCTTCTTGAAGTCGTACCTGATGTACTACAGAATGTTTATTGTTGTCAAAACACTTTTTTTGTATCAAAAGGTTGCAAATGTTTTGAAAATTTATTAAGTCGAACGTGCTGAGCAAATTTGCTTGATTACACTGCATTGATAAGATTAAAAGCGGCATAAATGTTATGAGATTAGAACGCGATATAGATATTATCGAGATAAAGGCATTCTCAATTCACTTTTATCGATAAAAGTATAAAAGTGGCTTCTCAGCCATTCAAGTGGTTCCTAAGCCACTTTTATCAATGAAAGTGAATTGAGAATATGGACTAAAATGTCAACAGTACGGAGCTGAAGCAACCGACCAGAGAGACGCCGAGACGAAGAGCAATGCTGAGATAAACAGTAGCATTAGACCTTCTTAAAAGCCTCTCATAAACAATCATAGCTTGTCGTAAAAGAAATTTCAGTGTCATAGCGAGAACTTGCGAATGCAACAAATATATACGAAAAATTAATTGAACTTTACCTGCAGACAGGAAGGCGTATATCACGTGTTCGCGGATTACGTCACTATTGCTATGCGGGTAATTCGCAATTTTTCGAAGCGAAATATTGACGAGCAGTGGCGTTTCGATAAATTCCATATTGATGTCGATCCAAGCAGATATGCACAATGTAAGCTGAACGAGATCACGGGCAGATGGATGACCATATCGCTACATTTAACGTTCAAAGTGAAGGTCATTTCACAAATTCTTCCTTATTACATTATCATCAATTATATTGTGTAACATGCCAAACAGTCTCACCGATTTGCCTTCATGGATCTTTCATTAATTACAGAATAATAATTATCGCCACTTGGATTGCGTCAATTAAACCACCACTTACACCAATACTGACATTTGCGAGTTGAAGTATTCGAAAAATATCACAGATACAGTATGTTAAGTTCAAGTGATGATAAGTTTCCACACACGAGTTTACTGAGAGCAGCGTCAAAAAGCTGTGTGAATTAGCTTTCTGAGCCTGGTTTCAACGCGTTAGGAAGTGAAGAAATACAGCCCCTTTTATCGACTGCTTCGTAATCAGCTAGATAAAATTTATCAGATAAAATTATGGAATTTGCGCATTGATCATGAAAGAAGATATCTTGCACTCTCATTCGAACTCACTCGAACTAGGCCGCAAACGGAAGGCTGCACGTAAGTTATTCGAATGTTACGTTTAACATAGACAATTATCCGCATAAGCATCACGGCAGACCGTGCTTGCGTTAATTGTCAGTCTGATCTATTGTCGTCAGATTGTTGGGTGTATCGACGCTTTGGATCCAATGTGCTTGAATCTGCATAACGCGATGTTGCAATGTTGAAAATGCACCACTGCATCCGTGTGCCTTTAATCCGCCATAATGATATTGCAGTTAATCCCTAAATTGAGTTCATAAGTCACACTCGCACTGCATATGCGATGTGCGGTATGCATCTTGTCGACGGTATATGCAAGTACAATTACGGCCATTCGTTTATATAAACAATGACGAGATTGTGTGCTAACATAAAACGTGAGTAAAAGGAATAATAAATTGCTCCCCATTTGCCTAATAAACAAACAAATGAGCGACCTAGAGTACAGTTAGTAATGTTTTTTTTTTCCATATTTCTAAAAATCAGATAAAAACCACATAGCGACACGCTTCATCTCTGTGCGAGACGAAGCTTTGATAATAGAAACTAGAACGTATTATCAAACAGTTTAATGTCTCGGACTTGTCGCGGAACGGTCTTTCCTCGCGACGTTATCAATGCAAATAAGTGACTACGGCTAAATACGAGATACGTTAATCTGCCGTGAGATAGTCGCAAGGGGAGTAAGATTTGAATACCTTCGCGTGATTGACTAAAACGAACGTGGTGATCGCGCCTATCAACGATCCGATTTGTGTGGCGACGCCGGTGTAATAGAGGCCCCGGCCAGGATCGGGCCTGTACAGTGTCGTGATGCCCATCTTGACGAATCCTATCAGACCGCATACCACTATCCACAGAACGACCACTAGTAGTTCACCCTGCCATGTGTTCTGTAAGGGAGGATGAGGCGACTTCGCGGCCAGATAACAGATAATGCCGGACAGGACGAGGACAATCGCCATGAGAACGTTGAGCAGCTTGACCGCCGGTGTGTTTATGAAGAAACCCAGACTCATGGCCAACGGGCCGGCTATGGCGGCGAGCGTCACCGTCAGATGGTACGCGACGCTGCCATATGGTAGACACGAGTACGACTGTATGCTCGGTAAAGTGCCGTTCCCGAGGAAGCAGACCACAGCCATCATGACCAGCAAGTAATAATACACGTTCCTCGGCATCTTCCAGCCAGAATTGGTCTTGTAACTCGGCGGTGCCGTCGTGTCAGTCGGCAGGGCTTCCATACTGCACGGAAGCTTGACCCTCTCCCCGATCGCGACCGGCAGGACGTTCAGGCCCAGGAACGAGAGGAAGCTCAGGCACAGGAGAGTGCCGATGAAGACGAAGAATATCAGGGAGGAGAATCTCGGGTCGGACGAAGTGGCCACGAACTTCAGGTGATCCGAGCCCGGCTCGGTGACGTTTACACACTGTGGATTGTGCTGGCCCACCCCTTGGATCAGCGCGACCGCGCTCGGCACGAATCCGCTCAGTCCTTCACCGACCAGGTAAGACACCAGGTAAATCTCACGGTAGTTCCTCATGTACGGCATGAAGAGCACGGAACTCGTGCAGCCGACGAGGGCCGTCACGAACATCAGCGACAGCAGGGCGGTCGAGTGCTCGTTACCGAAAATCACCGAAGTTTTACCGTGGAGAAAACTCAGGATAACGGTGGAGCACGACGCGGCGGCCAAGAGCGCATAGATGATGTATCGGTCGCACACCCAAGCCGAGTACCTGGAACAGGGTAACTTCTGTTAACACACACGGTACTTGTCCCGCAATCGTCCTGATATTACATACTGCGAATTACGCGGACACGTACTTTATGTACAGGGTGTACAGTATCGGTCCCAAATTCGCTATTTGCACCAGCATCACCATGTGAGCAGGTAGAGTCCATCCTTCCGGGGCGGTGTGCACTATGAGAGGTAGTTGCACGTAGACTCCGTTCACGCCGATCCAGGCGCCCAAACCGAACATCAGCGCCAGGAAGTCGACCAGCAACCTCCGGTTACTCAATCGTTGAGTCAGCATATTGCGCTTCTCCTGAGGACGTTGGTACCCTTCGATCGTATCGCACGCGTGATAATTATGCTTCCTGTGTGTCATTGATTATAAATCCGTTTATCGGCATTCCTCGATTATTCACTCCGTACTTCGGGATACATACGGCTCGACGATGGTAAGAGGAACGATCGTTTTATCGCGCTGTTACGAAATTACTGGTATTGTATAGCCGAAGTCAAGTGAGCGGAGGACCCAGCTCGAGACAAAGATCGTGCGAAACGTGATGCAAACGTGACGAATAATCATCGAGATCCACGTACGATAGTCGGCTGCTGTCGTAAGGTCGCTCCGTTCTTCTCACCGAGAGCAGAGTCGCGAACATAACCTATACGCGCCGAACGTGCTGTCCGTAACGGTTTCGTGGGCGCACGTGTAATCAGATGAGCAATAGCGACGATCGATATGAATGACAAGGTCCGGCCGACAATTGTTCGGTCGCGTTGGCGATACCCCTTTGAGATCTTGATTATCGAGAGACGTTACTTAAATAGTTCGTTATATCACCCAATCGTCTATAATTGATCGTTGACGCGACTAATCTTCGACGGAATTCTCGGAGAAAGCTGTTTTCATGACGACGACCTTGTTTATTCATTATCACCCAATTCCTCCCGAGTCATTGGAAACGTCTCGTCGACACTTTTCATGGCGAGGAAGATTCGAGAACGCTATGCTCGTTAACAGTTCCACCACAAAGCCCAATCAAAGTATCGTAAACACATTCACCATTAACATTATCCTACCGCAAATGATAAGGGGTTAAATGCGAGTGCAGTTACTTGTCGATACCACTTGTCGAGTGTAATCAAACGATTCGATACATCGCACGAGCGCGTTATCTCGATAATGGCGTTCCTTCGTACCTTTCAAATCGCATCTGGTAGGATTTACTGGGCGACGTTAGACGACGATATTGTTCGCGAAATTAACGATCTACTATACGACTATACGATAAACTGACCATACGGTAAACTGACACATACCTTCGACAAACTGACGCATCCCGCCACGTTGCGAAACCCGAATGGCCCAGAAGAACCGGTCGTGTATATCAGCAGTGACGTCTTTGGGAGGTTAGGAAGGGATGTCCCCACCAAAGGCACCTGTTGAACAGGTCGGCATGATAGACAGCTGTGGTTTCGTTGGAAGGAATTTTACAGGATATATTCCCGATGAATCGTCGACGCTGCAAGGAAAGAACAGGTGAGCGATTGCACGCTCGTAAAACTCGACTTCGGTATCAAAGATCTTAAGGCACGTAAAGTGCCGACGATTATAAGTAGCGATATGAAGGGCCTCTACATAAATTTATTACTTACTGAACAAATATTTTTCTATAATTTTATTTAACTGAGCAATCAATTTTAGTTTTGAACGAAATTAAGATAAATATATACACACATAATATTACAAACACGAAAATATTATTTGTTTTTTTACTTTTCTCATTAATTTATTCTCGTGGACGTTTCGATGTAACATTTAATCTTTTAGAATTTTAGAATTCTTATTATGAATTAGAATTATGAGGAATTCCGACGATAAAAACAATCGATGTCGGATAAATGAATATTGGACGATATCGTATCAATTAATTAAGTAAAGGATAAATAAGAGCCTGTGCATGGAAGTACTGGTAATTTGTTTGTTGATTTCTAAATCAGAAGAGCCGTGTTCAGATATATAACGATATCGTATCATTCTATAGAATAGTGCGAAACTTTTTCACTTCGCTGCAATTATATTTTCTCATCGAGATTGTTGGAGTGTAATTTATCAGGACGGGTCGATTGGCAGCGGCAGGGATGATTACGTGGATGATAGGATGAATCTTTTGTGAATTGAATACACATATTGAATATAGCAAGAACTTTATAAAAGACGAGGCAGACTCACAGATGGTTTAAGTACATTAGTATTTGTCTCAAAACTCTTGAGAGTGTGTTTTTTTGTTGTTGTTGTTGTTGCGTTCACATCGTTAGTTTTTTTTGTTTTTCATTTTGAGTAGAATCACACGGATGAAAAAAGGTTCGCAGAAAACGTGCTCTTGCATTGTGCTCGAGAAAGAGTTGTACGGATATAACATTAATTTAAACGGAGTCCCCGTTGGATGACAGGCGGAAAAAGGAAACGCCGAATTATACTTGACATAAGCTTCTTCGCGTATTGCGCCATAGTATCGTTGCCTGTTGTTTTTTCATATTTCTTTTTCCATCATTTTTTATCTCCGGACGATGAGTATGCATAAACAATCGGCGAAACTCTTATCGCGGCATTTTACGGAAAAGAAAAATCGCGTTGCACTTCTTTCTCCTTCTCTCCCCCCTCTCTCTCTCTCTCTCTTTTATTCTTTTCTTTGATGTCTCTCGCGACGTTCGTCAACGTTTCTTCCTCCGTTTGGGACGATTGAATAATATATACTGTGCGCTCGTTATTATCAAATGTATGTACATGTAGTATACAAATATACGTACGTCGTGTCGTATATCATATATATTGTATATGCATATATGTACATGGCTCGTTTAATCGTATTCTATTCGTGGCCTCGTGCGCTGCACGTTGACCTTTGGTTAGCCGATTTGTCGTGGATTGCTCTCCAGATTCGCGGTTAAAATTCTTCGGCACGGCCGATCACGGTGGTCGTTCCGAGGAGCATCTCAGATCTTTACTCGGCCGTACATGCGAAGCCTCGTCGTGATTCTGACCGGCAACTATCCCACGTGGTTCTCTGATTCGCGATCGCGACCACCGTGATCGGCCTTGCGCTTTTACAGAGGCGCATCGTCGCTCGAGTTGCAAAAATCCGAGATTGTTGGGGACCGGCTGCGACACAATGGCGCGGGAAACGACGATGTACACATCGAGAAGTCATCATATATATATATATATATTTATGTATATACCTGTATATATCGAACGAATACGAACGTGTCAGCGAGTAAACGAGCGCGACGGATGAATGTCGGAGTAAAACGCGCGGGGACGAACGTGTGGGGATCGATCGCGGTTCGATTTGTCGTACGAACTAATAAGCGCGACCGTGCGTGTCGTTATACGAATATACTTCTAGAATATTCCTATTATTTCCTGCGCGTATAATCGTCCGCCGGTGCGTGCCACTGCTTCCGCTTCCGCTTTCCGCCGCTCGTCGGTCCCGTCATCAGACGTCGTCGTTCGCGAGTCACTTTGGATTCGCCCAATATAGTTGCGATTGATCGTTAATTGATTTAATCGTCTCGTGCGCTCGACATGACCCGACGATAATGCGAATTCTGCCAGTCACGGCACAGTGGATGTCTCATTTTAATCGATTGAGATACACGGGAAAAATTCGTATCGATTCAAGACTCATATTCTTATATGTGAAAAAAAAAAAAACGAAAAATATTGGATAGAAAGAAAGATGTATCTTCAAATTCACACAGTTCTCAGTTTGAAAATATATATGTTCTTTCTATCCAATATTTTCCCCTCTCAATTCATGAAAATTATTCTTGATTAACGTGAATATATTTTTAATGGGACTAATATGGAATTCCTTCTTCTAGGAGCAAGCTTTATCTTCGTATATATATAAGGTTACATATTCTTGCTTATACATGAAATATGAGTCTTGAGTTGAAACTAATTATTTTCGTGCACACGATAGAAGTTTCTTCCCAAGTAACGACTCGTTTCTTGAACCGGCGAGTGCGCGGCTTTCATGAGAATCTTTCTCCAATTCCATCTTGATTTGAATTTATCTCACTGAATGTGGACGCTCCGGATATTTCGTGTCGAGAATATCGGGCAAACTTTCGCTCTTGTTTCACGCGTACACTTGGTATCTTACGCAAGGCCGCGCTATACCAGCATTGCTAGCATGCGGTTCTCGCGAGAAGGAAATTAATGGACTGAATTGTCGAACCGCGCCAGCTGCGCGAGGAATTTAATATATAAGTCTATGTGCGCCTCTGCGTGTGTATGTGTGTGTATCTGCGCGCAGTAAGTATGCCGAGGACCACTTATCGCTCGCAATCGTCTCTGCTCCTTTTGCTACGGTATCTCCGTCCGGTAAGTTCTACTGCGACTTGCAAAGTATCTCGCGGGAATTATTGATGAAACTCGTGCTGCTCAGTCGCAGCATCGAAGTTATAACGCCAAAGTTATCGGCGCACGAATATAAACGCGATGAGAGATAAGCGGCTTGATAAGCTCCACGAGTGCCGTGCAAATTTTTTCAAACATAGAATCGCAATGTCAGAGCACCGAAATACATAATCGTAATCTTCGACGTTGCGACGAAAGAAAACAACGGATGGATTCTCGCTCAGATTTTCGAACGATTCTTCAACAATCACTTCCCGCTACTTTGACATCCACGTCGCACGGTGACGCAAATAAATGATCTCCGTCGAATCTATCGCATCTAAATTAGAGGAAGAGGCACAGTGATTACAGCCTAATGGGGCTAATCAACATTGCAACTTAATCGATCGCTCTTCGACAGACCAGTCTCTCACTTATCATCAACTTATCAGCTGCGCATTCGATGACAATAATTAGTTTGTTTTTGTGTTTAAATGTGCCGATAATGCTAATCACTGTATCTCTTCCCTTATCTATCGAAATCACCACTACGGATGTTTTTCGACGAGTTGCGCATCGCCGACGCCGCAAAATTGGCAACAATAATGAACAATCGAACATTAAGGGCGATGTGTACTCGTAAAGATCGACACTCGGTGGTCGATTTAACGCGCATTCTTCTCGCTGATACAAAGTGCACGTCGAGAGATCGCCGAGCGTGTGGAAGCGGAAGCGTCGAGGATCACGCGGACGGGCAAACATTCGATCTTCATCGTGGCGATGAGATTAGGTGCGATTGTCAGAGCTGCTGCTATATACGTCTGTCACGAGCGCGTTCAAGTAGAAAGTTTCGGGTCGGAAGGAGCGCTTTTTTTTTTTTAATCCTGCGAATACACTGCGTCCTACACGCTGAAGGATGCTGGAGGAAATCTTGCCGCTACACACAGGCAGGACCGACATAATCCCGATGAAATTGACTGCAGTACTAATACACCGATTGCGCGGGCGCACATTGTTACGAGCTACTATTGCGAGAACCTGGTCCTTTCGGAGCTTTACACTACGTCACGTCACCCCGACGGCGCTTTACACCTCTCGTGGCACACTCTTCGTCGAGGTTCCCGAAATACTTTCAATTGTACAGTCGCGCGATTGCCAGCATCAGTCGAAGGGCTCGTTCCCAATCTTCGTCTTAGGTCTATTGTTTGAAAAACAACGCAAACGATGTGAGCTTGTGGCGAGCTTCCCGACTCTCAGTCTGCTCTTGAATGCGGATCTGAGACGGATCTTGTGGAAATAAGCCTTTCTCAGTTATGCGGCGTGATAGACGTTTCTCGGCGAAATAAACGACATTTGTGGATCAATTAGAGCATGTTCTAACAAATGACAATAGGAAGGAAGCTTGCATCGTCCAATGGTCGCGCGGGTCAGGATCATGCGCAAAAATGCGGAACAAATCATCAGCGTTCGGGAATAAAACGTTTCTTTTACACACAGAAAATTATACGCTGCGTTCAAGTAAATGTTAGTTGTGACAAAAATTCCATATCGCGTCAAATATTCCTTATTCTAAGGGTATCAAATTTATTCAAAGTAGTGTTCCTCGTAACCCGGGAAAAAAAGATTATACATGAAATTTATCTCTACGACCATGTACTACCATGAATAATTATAGTAGAGTACTTTAATCAAGAATATTAAATTAAAGCGAACTCCGGTTTGCTTATCCAAATTAGCCGAATTTAACTTTTCTTTGATATAGAGTTTATAATTTTTGAAAAGAGGACATATATATACACTCAATTATATTTGGGCGCGAATAAAAATATCAGCTCGCCGATTGAAAATCATCATCGTGAGGCGGACACGGCTTCAGAAATGGTACGAAAACGTGACTCGCCGACGGCGGTTCCGGTGTTAACGAATTGTCATAGATTGACGTGCGGATGCTGTGTATGTCGGACGAGATTTTAGGTTTGAGAGCGACGCGCGCGGATCACCTGAGGGTGCACACACACTACAACGCGGTATAGGTTTTGACTGTACGCAGATGTGTATGTGGGTGTGCTTGCGATGTACATTCGGTGTGCGAACCGGCGATTGTATCGATCAAATGTTACCTATTGGTGTCGCAGATACGCACACGTACACACACATGTACACGTGCGTATATATATATATATGTATATGCACGAGACGTACAGAGTTCGCGCAGCTATGTGTATTTCGGTTACGTGGCGCTCGTATGTACCAGAAAATACCGGGACGAGGTGGAAATTATTGCATCGTTCTAACGGGAGAGAATAAAACCACGGAGAAGTGCAACGAGAGAAACCGCGAAATTTTCTGTGAATGAAATTTCATTGTTATCGAGGAACGTCTCCAATATTACTCGGTTCTTTTAAAATCATTAAATGTAAAAAAAATGTTCGTAACCGTAAAACCGTAAGCAAATCGGCCAACCAAGTCGATCAGCGTTTTATTTTGCACCTATGTTGTCTTGTTTCCTGCGTCCCAAGGTCTAAGTCACCGTCATATCTGCACGAACTTTTGCACCTCAATACTGAATTTCATAGTATCGACTTATGTGATGCTCGTATTCAGTGTCAGTTAGCATTTCTCAGACATCGCATTGTGAGATTTCGTGCTACTTTTTCTTTCATCGTAATATTTGATACATGAAATATTTCAATGCTTTCCCTCCATTTATTCTGCTTCTCCGCATTTGCGCGTCCGCGAATTGTGTCCTTGCCGGTAACATTGTTTCTTTGTGATCATTATATAATGCGTGTTTCTCTTTCTCTTCTTTTCATATTTTACAGTCTTTCATAAAACAACACACATATTCATCTTGTGTTAAATTAATACCAAAATTTGAGTGTAAAATGTATTAAATTTAATCTAAAGTTTTGCTGATGTTCCGTTTTTTAATTCTCTTTCTCTTCTTGACCTTTATTTATTAATTTTATATTTTATTTCAACTCTTTTCCGTTCTTGGGACTTATTGGATCGTAAGAGAAATAGTCGACTGTGGTTAATTTGCTTACGGCCTTGCAATTACGACTAAAACTTTTTCACGTGCAATAGCATTTAGAATTCACGGTAACGTGAAAACTTTTTCATTAAATCACGCATTGAGAAAGCCCGCGAACTTTGACAGAAAACGCGCGTTAGATGAAGGATTTTCACTTTCTAATGACTAAACTTTTCATCGATATTTATCCGTGCGGTAAATTCCGTTTGAGTCAGCGGGGCGAATAAACAAATGGAATAAACGGTTTTGCATTGACTTGAGGGGAGAAAATGAGCCGACGAGAAATTCCAGCGGCGATCGAATAAGAGAGGAGGGGAGATTCGAGCGCTGTGCGTCAATGTGCGTGTATGTGATAGGTACGTGAACACCGCAGGTATGCGACAGTCAGATGTATCGGGTAACACGAATTCATCATGTCTCACGTGTCTTACGAACGCATTCCTGTATCGTATGTATTTCGGCTTTGGAAGAATCGTGGATCGTGAAATAGCGGAGAACGCGTTTTAGAAGTCGAAGGAAATGAAATTTTCAATTCTTATAGCGCTGCCATCCAGTAAGTGAATTCGATTTTTTCTCAACCGAAACGCTTCCAGTTCATTTACAGCCCGTCAAATTTAACCGAGCTTTTTCTCTGTATGCAAACGTTGATTTTTCCGACGAGAATTGTCACGGAGTCCATTGGCACGAAAAGCTCTCGGGGACGTCGAACGTGCCAAAAAAATATGGAAGAAAATATCGGTCGAAGAATTTTCGCAATCTCACTCTACTTTCCACTCGCCAAGTGATGTTCGTTTCCGACTTTATCGGTGAAAGATGTGCGTACGGCACTGCCGTAAATAAGAAAGACGGAAATGTAGCTTCGACGTCAGTTATTTGCGCGTATCAAGTCGGGCTCGACGCGGTGATACTATATACACACCGATACTGAAACGCTCTCGAGTCCGTGCGTGGCAAATAGGAAATTAAGTGACGTGATGCACGTGACACGGGAGCGACGTTCTCGGCTCGAGTTGTAGTCTTTTTTCAGTGTACGTATAACCTTCACGATTTCAGCACGGGTAAGGGAAACGTGTGAGTCTTTGAGAAAGTAATCCGGCGGATGCTGACCGATGACGTCGAGCTCGTGAATAACGTGCGAGAGCGGTACGATCGCTTTTTTCTCATTCTTATCATCATTTTCTCTCCTACTTTTTATTCCGATCGTTCGACCTTCTGAATTAAGCCACCAAACGTATGCTCGCGCCGCTCCTCGTGTCGGTGCTCTTCCAGGTGCTGCGTATGACGCCATCGTTTTCAGGTTTAATTAGTCTCTAGGCTTTGTCACGTGACACTCCCCGCTCGAGAGATCGGTCGATCGATTCGTTCGATACCCGAAAGACCAGCGAGTTAAACAGAAAATTGCTCCATAAATCCCGAATCCCTATCTCTTTCTCCTCCCTTTTCTCTCATTTTTTTTTGAAATATTGAAAGTCAGCCTCGAAAATTCCGGGATTTCATTTTATGTTGTTCGTCTTGTCGATTAACGCTGCATTACGCATTTCTTAGTGAAGCGTGAAAGAAGGACTTGAGGAATACCTCAACACACATATACACACACATACGAAGAAATTAAGTCTTTACATAAGTAATGTCAACATACGAGAGCAAGTAACTGACTGGGGAAATGTGGAATTCAAATTTGTGGAGTACACTCCCGGTCTCTCGCATATTTCTCCGCGTTTCTGTTAATTCGCGTGCCTCTCAGATGTAGAATCGCTTTGAAGTTAGCGATATAACTAGCTCAACACCTGTTGGTTAAATATCCGCACGGCGAGTAGCGATATAATCTTGAACGGAAACGTGAAGTCCCGTAACGATGGCACATCCTTAATGTTCGTAGTAAAAAGGTCACGATCTGAAGGGGACGAAGTCGACTAGAGCATTCGAGTGAAATTTATTCATACACAGCGACGGCGTTATGCGCATCGCGAAACAGCCTTCAAGGGGGCCCTTTCCTCTTTTCCTCCCTTCACCACTTTCCTCTCCACGTCCCACCTTCTTTTTTCTCCTGTCCTGTCTCATCTCGTTCGCTTATGTAACATTGACTGTACTCTAAAGTTCTGTTTAATATATGTACTACGATAATTACAGTATTGTTATTCGGCTTGGCTTGACTATGCCAACGCGCGTTCTTCTTACTTCCACGGCGATGTACACAATAGGTGAAAAAGTCTTTAGAGGAAAATAGGTTCTTTAGTAAATTGACAAGTAGATAGATTCGTGTTCGTGTGTAGATCTGTCTGTGTGTGTGTGTGTATGTGTGTGTGTTCGTGTGTGGGCGTAGATGTATGTGTGTGTGTTCTGTGTAAGTAGGTGCAGAGTCGAAGAGAACACGACCCTAGACTCACCCTACGATCCTCTTTCCCCGTTCCTTTCGCTCCTCATCGTGTTTCCGCGTTATACCTCTACGGGATATTCTGTCTCATAAAACCGGCGCGGCGATCCTTTGAACCGGGAAACGATTCGCAAACATGTCCCGTATGAAAACCCGTCAGTTCTCGGGAGGGGCGGAGGGAGGGGTATATGGTGCACGCAACGTATTCTTTTGCATCCCCTCTGAGAGATATGTCTGTCTGACAGAGAAGTCTTCTGCGTCTTCTGCGCGGGGGATGTGCTCTCCGAAGGTACTTCGCGAGATGCCGGCTTATCCCGCCGTGCCGACGAAATCAAATTCCACCCGCTTCCGTCGAACTCAAATCCCGATAAGCGCGATCGTAAACGAAGGAATACAGTTTACGGAGTAACGAAGGGGGCACGATTTACAGAAAATAACGCAACCATTCGCTAAACGGAGAATTTGCTCTATAAAGTAAAAGTTTAAATATTCGTATTTAGAGAAGAAAACGACAAGAATGTCGACGGTTAAAGTGCGTGTCCAAGAATTGATACTTTAACCATAAATCTCTTTCTTTTGATATTTTTCCGAAATACCGGAAGTCAGCCCCGAAAACTTCGGGAACTTCATTCGAACGCAACCACCGATGCTCCGAAGAGAGCGCGGTGAGACACAAAAGAAATACGTTGGCACACGTGCGAGACCACGCAACTTTTTCGTTACGTAACTCCTCGCGATATCATGTACCCTCCTGAAATTGGAATCCGATTCCGCGGCGGATATCGGACGTTCAGTGCACGCTGGCCAGAGTTCCCGCGCAAGTTCGCGTCGGCGCTCGTGACCTCAGAGGGGCTCGCTCCGTCTGGCGGCCATCTTCGCCGCTCTGGAGGCCAGGGCGCCCAGGGAGCACACCAGGCCTGTCAGCGTTTCCCAGAACGTGGTCCGGCGTCGCTTGTGCGCCGCTTGGCCGACGTAGCCCAGATGGTAGCCGGCGTACCGTTCGTTGCTGGTTGCGGATGCACGGCTCTCGTAGAAGACGCCGTTGCTTGGCCTGGGTTGCTGCAGGATGCTGCGACGGTGCTCCGAACCGTCGCGATCGACGCTCCGCGAGGAGTTGCTGCCGCTGCCGCTGCTGTGCCGATGTTGGTAATGCCGCTCCTCGTAGAGATGCTGCTGCAACTGCACGTTGCTCAACCGCCGGTCCATCATCCTGACTAGGTTCTGATGCACCCGCTGATCGTCCTCCTGCACCGGCAGCTGACGTTGGCAGGCAACGACGACGGCGACTGGCGGTGCCGGTGACAACAACTCGTGTTCCACTTGTCAGGCGTATTCGGTGTCGCTGGACGCTGATCGTTCCAGATGAGCCGGGTGGCTCATCGAGTGGTGCTGTTGGTTCGGGTGTTGCTGCTGCTGCTGTTGCTGCTGCTGCGCCTGGGCGTAGGCCAAGCTCTTCTGATAGCTGAACAGCTGCCGCTCCAGGCTGTAGTTCTCCGCTTGCAACGACGCGATCTCACGGCGCATCTGTTGATTGTGAACGCGGCACACGTCGTCGTACTTGTGGTAGGTCGCCTGGAAGAGCAGGTGGCTCTCGTTCCACTCCAGCCGGATCCTCAGCTGACCCTTGTCCGTGAGGAATGGACAGTGATTATCCTTCACTTCGTTCATGTCTAGGCTAGTCTCCATGATGATACCTTCGTCGGCGGACTCCTGGGCGTAGTAGCGGCTGAACGGTGCGCCGGGCAGTCTGATCGCCACGACGTTTGGTCCCTCGCTTTTCAGCAAGTACGCCGACCAACTGACGTACCTGCTCGGAACAGAATCGCTCTCGTGGAATATTCATTACTTGAATACAAGCGTTCGGGTGACAAATATGTTCGATACACCGGACGATCAATCGCTGGATAAATCTCAGTACACTACGAACTTCGGATGACCTTGTGTTTAAAGCTAAAATACGTTAAAGTGTACACGACATCATGAAATAGTGCTTTTTCTAATCGGTGTCTAAAAAGTGTCGCAATAATCCCTGATCTCCTCTACTTTAACGTTTCCGCGACAAAGAGAGAGATGCGCGAGATCGATACGTACCTCAGGTGATTCCTCGGCACGTTGTGGATATCTTTGTACACCAGGTGCAGCCTGACCGTGTCGGAATAGAGGTCGGCGCGGATGGCCCACGCTTGCTTGTCGCGATCGTAACAGGGCGCTGCCGGTGGTACCTGCGGACCTAATGCCTGCACCGCGATCTCGCAGATGGTCCTCGCCTCGAGCATCTCCAGGGAGACCCGTAGCGTGCCCTTATGGGCGATGTCCGACCACCTGACCCTCGTGCTCCAGCCGTAGCCGCAGCCTTCCGCGTCGGAGATGTCCTCGATCTGTCCCGAGTCGATCCGCCGTTCACCCTCGCCCAACGCCACGCTGTATCTCACCCTGCACCGATGATCGAAGCCGGTCAGTCTTATCAGGTAGACGCCCACGCGGCCCCGACCTTCCGTGTCCTGGCCCCGACCGTCGGTGTCCTTGCCGTACGGGTAGATCACCAGGTTCCAGTCGAAGCCGCCGAAGGTGAAGCAATCGGTCTCGAGCTTGCTCGGCTTGGTCTGGCCGGCGGAGAACACCGACGTCGACATCCTGACCTCGGTCATGTAGACGGTCCGCACGTTCGCCATGGACAGCTCCAGCTGGAACTCGCCGTTCGTGTCGGCGAAGTTACGGCTGTAGAGGTCGGACACGGGGATGTAGTTGCGGTTGCCTTGGGCCGGCGCCTCGTAGGTGAATTTCACGCGCTTGCCGGAGAAACCCTCGTTCATGGAGAAGTGCTCTCGATTCAGCAGGGTGAACGTGAAGTCCACGTAGACGCGGAGGTTTCTTGACGCGCCGCGCCATACCAGGTACACGCCCAGGACCTTCGGAAAGTAACGCACCGGATAATGCCGAATACCGATGTTAGAACGTGCACAATAAAATACTCGTTCGATATCGGACGCTTCGACTGCCGAATCTGTTCTTTCTTGTATAAATTCTACTTCCTTTGTTAATCACACTGGTCCACACAGAAATAATATTCCGGATCTGAACTGCGAATTCTAATGAATTTTGCGACGTTGAACACAAATATAACAATTCGTCGAATCTTGTCATAAATTTATAAAAACATGACTTGCAAAGTCAGTCGTTTATAAAAACTCAACTTTGACTTCCGTTTTATAGTAAACGATAGTCAAAAGGGAATTTGATACCCGAGGCTTTTGCTTCGGTCGCGAGTTTCGTAATTAACGAGATCGCAATCTCTGTTGCGAAATCAACCGAAACTGTCGATCGAGTTACCTTTTCTCCGCGCGAAAAAGCGACGGCCCATTTCTGAAAACCGCATACTAGTTCCTTGCTGGTGACGTCCCTCTCAGGATCGCGCACGACGCTTCTAGTGACGACGAAGGAGAAGACCCGCGTGCCATTGCGATCGTGTAGCTGCGCGAACCTATACAACAAAGCCATCACCGCATCTCGAGGGCACCTCTAATCCAATGGTCCGCGTTCACGAGAAGAATTCGTTCTGTTCGTCTTGTGGGAATCTGCGAAATGCAAAATTGATGCATCACAGCGATAAATGAATAATTTATTCAGAGATACATACTTTTAATCTGATTCTATACAGGGATGTCCGTGACCAACAGGGATAAACTTCGTGAGGGCATAGAACGGATTGAGGTAAATAATAAAGTCCCGTGCCATTTTACAAACAACGCGCGCAATTTTAGTTATTAATTAAATTCACTTTCCTAAGTTTAAAAGTGAAATTCCTGCCTGACGAAGGATATTTCGTCGTAAGGAAATGATTGCCATAATAAATGATAGCGATAGCAATTAGATATCTAATTAGGGAGATTCGATTATCTCAAGTATGGCTTGAGGTAATCTTAAGACGCCATCTAGCCAATGAAACGGCGATGTGGCATGGTTTAGCAGCGTAATTAAGACGATCTTAAATATAAGATCGGTCTATGAATACGACACATCATTAACCCTTCTTGCTCCAATAACGAGCAAACTATTGAGGTTTTACGGTCTATCAGAGAAATGTTAGACGATCTCTCGGTGAGAGATTTCAAGCGCGGCAGCCGGAAAATTCTTGCTTGAATTTCATCGAAATGGGAGATAGCAGTATATATATATATATATATGCCGTTACGTAATCCGCTTTCATTCCTAAATACGTGCGACGTACACGGCGGCCTTTGTGGTATTAATTGTCGCGCACAACCGAGTACGCGGTATTGAAATGGACGAGTAGGCTCCGCACAGGGTCGTTTTTCCACGGGAGGGAAAGAGTGACCTGTTTTCGTGAGCGGTCTCTGGATCTCTCGGCAGAAGAGACATACCGTTGCGGCTGTGTTTTGAATCGCGTTTCTGAAACGTTGCACACGCAGGTATTGTACATACACACACGCGCCGAAGGGGGATGGACTTTCAAGCTGTCATCTCGAATATTTCGACGCGTTGTACTTGCCATTGTTATTTTGCGTCTCGATCGAGAGGCCATTAAGTAATTACGTCGGACACTGCGTCGTCGTCTACCGTCGCCGTAGTTCATTAATGTAACAATGAGCCGACTTTGATACTTTGCGTTTGCTACTTGCGTCCGCTGACTTATTCTACAACGGAGCGCTGCGTTTTGAAACTTGGCGCAAGAGTCGCCGCGCATCTTCGCTCGTATTCGTCTATTTTCACACGGTGAAAACCCGTCATCTGGGTGTCATGTAATAACGTAAATCCCGACGCGCGCCTGGTGCGTAAATCGCAGTGGAAAAAAATCTAATACGCGTAAGAAAACTCGATCATGTGAATGCACAAGCGCGTTGATGATTTCTTTCGAACGTAGTTGGAAAAATCCATCGTTCAGAGAGTGACGGGTAGGTCCTACGTGACGCTTCTGAATAGTATTTGGAATAATTAATGCATTTGTGGTGACATCTGTAACATATTGAAATGCTACTACATTGAGGGAAAAAATAGAAAATGATCTCAGTAAATTTTACAGATAATTTTGGCTCCAACCGTACGTTTATAGTTTTCTTTGTAGTTCCAAGTATCATGTGCTTTCCTCTCCGTGTACGGGACGAAAAAGCGAGTTACTTCTTCGCAGCCGCCCACGAAGATTCGACGGATCGTCATGTCGGCGCCGAAAAGAGAAGAGGCGCCTGTTATCTTCAGGGAGCCCATTCTTTATCGCGAATGGGGCCATCGACTGGCCAGTCTGGGCAGAAACTCTTCGGCCATTGATTATTTCGAGAAGGCGAGCAGATTATTGGAGACCGAGGAGCTGAGAACGTTAATCGGTCATTGCACAGTGCTGATAGAAGACGCCAAATACTCAGCCGCGGAAAAACTGTCGGAGAGATGTATGGAAATAGGTATGCACGAGCGACGGTCGAGCAGCTTGGCGAAGCGCAAAATGGAGGTGTTAAGAGGCACGAGAGAGCGCCGTGTGAACTTTGTCCACTGTACTTCGTGATATAGCGAGAGTGATTATCTCCGACGTGTTATTAATTTCCCCACGTGTGATACATCTCTCCGTTAATTAATTATTTAACTTAAAACCATTATTTCTCATGAGCATTATAATTATATCCCGTTCCTGTACGTTCATAAACGCCGTCGCACTTTCCTTCCCTATTCCACCTCAGTCCATTCGCAGCTACTCCTATGAAACTCACGTCGTTCTGCGCGTATAATACCGTTTTTAATTTATAAAATTGCATGCGAACAATTTGTCCGAGGAATTTCGTCTCGTCCCGCAAGTAGAAAGTTAGAAGATGGAATTAGACACGTACACGCCGTGAGGAACGAATAATCGCGAGGGGTTAATGAGCGCAAAGCCAATTGACGCTCTGGGCGACGTCGATTGGCTAACAACGTCCGCTGATTATCTGCCGCCGATTAACGATAAAACGCCGGGCATGCTTGATCTCTCGGCTTCAGATCCCAGTCATTATCAAGCGAGGCAGATGCGGATGCGAGCGCTTTTCCAGACTGGTGAGTTCAGTCACAGCCTGGTACACGCTTACGAGGGTATGCGGCGACTACGCAAAACGACCTTTGAACACGGTATCTACCAGGCCAACGAAACCATCGAAGATTGCATCGGCCGGAACACGTCGCCTATAGCGTTGCTGCTGCTCTACCCGTGGATACGGAAGCTGCGCGACTATCGGCACCGCCTGATCGGCAAACTCGAGAAGGAGGAGGACGAGTTCGAAGGTGCGTGTCACTTGTGGAACAAACGCGACGCATGTCGCGATGCTGCCCCTGTGATATCGTCCATTAAAAATAACATTCTACGGAAGTTTCAGCGAAATAGAGAAATCATCTTACATATAATTTGAATACACTTAGCCAGTTTTATAGAAAAGCAAAAGTTTAAGTGATTAAACGTTTAGTTATATCGAAATGATTTCCATCAGGCGTTCCTAAGCAGATATACGCTAAACGTTTGAACGTGCATTCGGAAAACGGATTGAATAGGAAGCCTCAGCAAAAATGTATAATAAATGTAACAAAATAATGCAATTTCAGTGCTTTTATTTTATCTTTTTATAATTCTCTGTACGTAACGTGGGTATGTCGATTTTGGGATTTTCAGTTCCTAGAAGCGTCAATCTCCGAACATCTTGAAAAAGTTATTTATACGTTGAGAGAAATTTATAGTTATTTTTCGTGCCAACCGTAACCTTTTTGACCACGAAAAGTGGTTAGTTTTAACCACAAATTTAGTTTGAACCACAAAAATAATAATAACAACATGCATGCTGCTTTGAACCATCAACAACACAAGGCTTTGGAGCCCAAAAACCAAATATCAGTTTTGGTGCTTCTCCTCTGATAAAAAGATATCGACCAAATAATTGTCTCAGGTTATCTTATAGCGATGACGTAAATTAGCTCCTGATTAGCTCGTATCGGCATGATCACCAGGTATCGCCGTGGACGAGGACGAGACGAGATTCAAGGTGAACGATCCGGAAGTGCAACAGCAGGCTCGAATGAGGAGACTGCAGCGCGTCATAGCGAAGATGTATATGGGTTACCTGGCGATCGATAAGGATTTCCTCGAGGAGATTGTCGGCCAGCCGGAAATCGCGACTCCCGAACTGGTCGCGCTCGCGAGCGCCTGCCAACGGAACATCAGCTACCAGCAGGACCGGCTGCGAATGCGACGACCGCTCTACGTCACGCTCTTCGAGCGCCGGGCGATACCGCGGGGGCACAGGACGGCGATGAAGCGACAGCGGAAATTACGCGCGTACAACATCATCGTCGCGGCGGATTTCCTATTGCGTCGTTTACACGCCGCGAGAGTCAACAAGGATTACCTCGCCTTCTTCGGGTTAGTGGTAACGCCGGCATTTCTCGGCGGGAGTTTCCGCGCGCGCATTCGAGAATGCGCTGCCCGTCCGATATCCCCCAAATGTTCGTTCATTGAGATGTCGAATATCCAACTACTACGTGATATTCTCGCTTTACCAGAATCGGGATTTCTGGATATTCGTAACGAATATTCGCGATCCGAATCGAGAATCGGGTTCTTCGTTCCGCCGTTTCCTCCCTCTCTCTCTCTCTCCCCCCTTCCTCTAATTGCAACCGCGCTGAATCGTGACGTCAGAAGCGAGAAATCATGCGAAATTCTCGTTCTTTTTTCCCCTATGCCATACATATCGGGATAAATTCGAAGCTGTTTCGTATGCTGCTCGCTATTCCGACAGCGCAGATTGGTGAAATATACCAAGGGACATTCCCCTTTGTGTTATTCCACGTCGGTGAATAGACGTGTAAATTCAATCTACATTCGTCGCACAATTTTCCGATGGAAAATTACACACGGTTGTGACAGGTGATTGAGATTTACAGTCATTTATCAATTCACGAGACAAGATGAAGATTTTCGGTGTACTTTATCGATCTACCATTGAACACGACCACGACGAAAGCTGCGCAAGGGGGCTAATTCATTTCGACGTATAATGCAAAGGGGAGCGCAATTCTTTGCTTTGACGTTGTAATTTAATACGCAGCGAGAAAACGAGAGCCTCGAGCTCTACGTTCGAGTCGAGGTAACCGTAAGCTTTGCTTCTGCATTGAAGCTCTGCGGAAGATTGGCCCTCTTTTGCAAACTTACAGATCCGAGCTGGAAATAGCCGTGTAGGAATGAACAACGAAACTTTGCTAGCAAGAGAACGAGAATAAACCTACTTTAATTAATACAAATATTTACGCGAGCTCTCTAATTAATAATATATGATATTTCATTTCGCGTGTTATCATTTCATACGCAACTGTTCATCTTGAACGCGGTATGTATCTTCTGACATCTCAGATTCACAAAATGTCCGACCGTTCTTCCCCGTCTGATCAGATCCGTGGATCGTATCAAGGACAAGTTCGACTCGTATTCGAGCAAAATGTTTCCGCTGAAGGAGAAGTTTCTGAACGCGTTGTACGAAATGGTGGCGTGGACTTACATCGATACGCGCGACTTGACGTGCCTGGACGACGAGGAAATGAAAGCTACGTATTTGAAGCATCACTTAGGGATACGAGTCGCGACGTTTCCCCGAGACAGCGATCTCGCATGGATACCGAGCATGAATCCGAAGGAGAGGCTGAAGATATTTCGCAGGCAATTCACTCGCAAATAGATTCGTCCCATAGGAGAATTCGGGGCATAATGGGAACTCTAAGATTTAATCAAGCTTTAAACCGGGAATAGTCACCTTATATTTTTGTTTTATAAACGATCACGAACACTTGATATGCTTATTCCATTTCTTAAATATTTTTTTTAGGTTTCTCTCGATTTGTTTCAAAAAGTAGCGAAACGAATATATATTTATATCTAAATATATTAAAAATAAATAAATCATCTTAGTTTCACATGAAAATATTCTTTGGAATATCCACTATGGGAAAGACAAATTTTACTGCGAAAGAATAGTTTAAAAGTGTTATTGTCTTATTGAAAGTGTGAATTATCCTCATTATCGCTTCCTATGCGGAGCATAATGAGATACCTTACAAAACTCATTTATTTCACAAATGTTAATTAGTCGAAAACTTCGTAAAAGTAACCTAGAACACGTAATACATGTAGGAATGTATTATTGTGCTTTTAATCATTACGTACTATTTATAGTATTATTTTTAACATGCGTTAGGTTTCTGTTCATAGCACCGTTCCGTACTCAACTATATAGAGATTATAAATGTTACACATTGTGTGAAAAGCCGCTAATCTCATTTCTATTCACTTCGATGCTACGTTACATAATACCATAGCGCATCCATTATACCATTACGGTGAACTAGTGCTCCGTTATGCTCCGAAATGTAGGTTTATTTTACATAACATGAAACATCACAGGTAATCGATATCACAGACATTTTACTAAAGTGATGAGAAAAGATCATTTAATAACGTAAATGTAAACTCACGGTAATAAAAAGTAGAATTCTACCATTGCTTTGGAGCAACTTTCGGTTTAAAATAACGCAACAATCGATAACAGCATGCGATAAGAGACATCTAACAGTTATTATTGCAAAATATTCAATTACATGACAAAATCTTTGTTAAAAGTTATCGACCATATCTCATTATGCCCAAAGTTTCTCCTGCGTCACGGACTGTCTCGGTTTTACTCGTTAAACTCTATCAATTTTCACACTCTTTTCCCGAATAAGTATTTCTTGCGTATTCTTTTTCGCTTAATATGCAATTGAATAATTTTATATATATATATGTATATATGTATTAGCAATATATAATTTACAAATGTCGCATAATTTATGCGGGGAATTTATAATTATGATTAAACGCGCGCTTCGCGGTATAATATTCGGTAATTCCGATTTGAGCGATCGACATTTCCCCTAAAACGATTTCAATATTTGCGGCTCAAGCAGGAGATTAGCCATGGCGTATGCGCCGCTCGAGCTCGCCTGGCTGCATCACGACCTGTGCAAGTTGCTCATCGATATGTGTCGCTTCGACCTAGCCAGATTCCACGGGAAGAAGGCGCGCGATTCCGCGCAGGAGGCGAACTGCGAGCAGTGGGTGTTGAATGCCGATCACCTCATCCTGCGGATCGAGATACATCAGAATAACAGGAACGAGGCGAAAGACGCCGCGATGTCAGCGCTCGCGTGCGTCCAGAAGCTCGATATCGATTACCTGGTATAAATAAAATGCCGCAATTTTGCAAAACCTCGCCGGCCCTTCGCGGTCCCGCGGATCGATATCCAATCAACGCCCCCTCGAAACGCCCCCTCGATGCAGTTCGCGCCTTCGAAATCGCGTAGGAGCGCGCTTATGAAATAATCTGAGAACAAGGAGTCCATAATCCCTCTTAAATATCTCTTTCGCCGTTTTGACATTTTCTGGATGGATATTTCCTCCCCTTTTCTCGATCTCGTCGATCTCGTACACTGAGAGAAAATTATTTAGTATTTGTAACTATAATCATCATAGTGAAAGAATCATACAATATATAATGACGAAACGATACGGGACGAATCGGGGCTGGCGAAGTCGCCATCGTCGAGTCAATTGATAACTCGTTACAGTAATACACAATTCGTTTGAATCAACGTTTGCTCGAGCGAATCTCGCTCCAAACGAGGTGTTGTCGATTCCACTTTTTCCCCTCTCAATGCGCCCGTTGTATAAAACGACAAAGGGAGAAGTCATTTTCTCTCGGAATAATTCCGAGCCGTCGTGATACTTCTTTAGAAGACGCGCTAACGACCGTCCAACTCCCCTCCCGCCGTATAAGTTCTTATTCAAACATTGCTCATTCATTTTCCGTTTATTTGCCCGGCAGATTTCTCCCTCCCACCCTCGCGCGTCGCAAAGAGCGAAAAAAGCTTCGAGAAATCGCACTAGTCTTTCCATAAAGGCAGACGAATGTGATCCTCTTTCGCGAGGCGGTCCTCGCGGGCGCGATCAAATCGCTGACGTAAGAACCGCGAAGGGTTTCCCCTCATTCGCGCGGAGGGACGCGGTTGATTCGCCGAACTTCACGAATGTCCCGTCCGCACAGATAGATTTCTACGAGAGGGCCATAAAACTTGCGGACGAGCTAGACGTGGAGCGGATCGCCGACTTCGACGGCGCCACCGCCAGGCAGCAGCTTATCCTCGAACTGATGCCGCCGGCGATGAAGGAGGAGGTGGATTTCCTGTGGCGGCGCATGGACGTCGTGCCCGCCAAGAGACGGCTCTCCGTCATGCCGGGCTGCAAGCCGATCGATCGAAAGCGCAAAATGACGTCCGAGCGGAGGACGATATTACCCAGCCCGCCCAAGGACCCGGAGAGGGACGCCAGGATCGTCCTGTTGCGGCAGTACGCTCCGCGCGTCCGCCGGCCGGGCTTCGTGGATTTCGAAGAGTTCGAATGATCGTCCGGCTCATTGAGGGGCGAGGGGGGATTATCGCCGGGCAATCGAGAACACGGACCGGCGCGTGTGAAAATCGCTCGACCGTTTCACCTGCGCCCTATTCACCCGCGTCGCGTCCGTTTCGAGTTGGTTCGAGCTCGCTGGCCATTTCAGAAATTGAGTCTCGCTTTACCGCGCATTTATTCGTTGTAACTGATAATTAATAACAATTGTGTGGAAATTCCAAGCGAGTCGCATCACTGCACGCTTTATCAACGTTACTCATTGTTCATCTCTCTCTCTCTCTCTCTCTCTCTCTGCCTTCCTCTTTCTCTTCTTAATCCGTCTTCATTCTCAATCTTCTACATTTTATTTGCGTCCTTTTATTTCTTCCCCTTTTTCCCGCTTCTCCAACCTCCTTCCTTTCCCCGTTCAACTTACTTCGTCATCTTTCTTATGTTGTACCGTTGCCGCGAAGAGATATGATCCCAACGAACAACGCGCGAGAGTCTTCCGCTTCTAGTTCTAATTATCTCCGAGCGAATGGAGCGATTTATTCCGGCGATCCCCCGGCCCTCCTAATCGGACATTTCCGCGCTCGTGGTAGGATAATTTTACAGCGATCGTCCTTCACCCTCGCCGCAAACTGTGAAGGATGTGAAACGTCGGGTTCGCATAGCTGCGTGTCGCCGCGGACGGATGGCTGAATTTTCTCCTTTCGCCTCTCGCGCTTCACCGTCACGACACGGAAAAAATTTTCGACTGTCAACGACGAATTTCCGACTTGCCGTTTTACGTAACCGTGAGCTATGATACCGCCTTTCTTTATTCACCGTGCATCATCGCGCAATCTCGTTATCCGGTGCGTCCCAATCCGGTGACGCCTGACAGGCCGATTTTGGCGGTGATGCACGGTCGTTTTCCAATAACGACGTCGCACCAAATCCGAGAGACGGGCAACAACATTCTGGCCGGTCCTGCCGGAATCATCATAGCGGAAATCTCCTTACCGCTCCGGCACTTCAGCTCGCTCTCTCTCTCTCTCTCCCTCCCTCTCCACTCCCCTGTTCTTTTTCTCGCTGTCATTCTTCCTTCCTTTTTTCTGCTCTTTTTTTCTCAGTCATTAGAGCACCGTCTGAAATTCTAGTTTCACCTTCCCTATCCGTCTCTCTCTTCCTCTCTCTTTCTCTTCGACTCTCCGACATTATGCCGCCGGAGGCGGCACCGACTGTTAATTGGCAAGAATAATTAATTAACCACCGCATGGGAATAGTATGGTAATTTTATCGAGTAGGTGGCGAGGAAAAGAAAACAGAGTAGAGGGGAGGGCGGGCAGAATCGGAACGTTGGAAATTGAGTGCAATCAGCGAGGGATGTGTGTCTGTGACCGGGCGAATGGAATTCGACAAAAGTCTCCGCGCGAAGTGCGAGTCCGTCGCGAGATACACGTGCGCAGATGGAAAGTGTGGCAATTCGTGCGTCGGTAGAACAACATTCAAAACCGATAAGCTCAGGATCGTTTTGAGAATACGAACGCTGCGTCGCGACGTATTGTTGCCAGGTACGCAAGAAGAACTTACGAAGACAGATCGCTCCTCATACACGGCGCGCTCGAGCTTTCTTAGTTATAATAGCTTTCGGTGTCTTTCGCCTTCCCCCCTTCGAAATTGCCGCCATTCATCTTCCGCGATAACCAAATCCCGCCGAAGTATCTTGCGATATCCGATTTAATAAAAAAAAAAAAAAAAAAAAAAAAAAAAAAAAAAAAAAAAAAAAAAAAAAAAAAAAAAAAAAAAGAACGAAAGTAACAGGAGAAATATGCCTTCGCGACAGAGGAGCGGCGGATCGGTATGAAAAACTCATTTAGGCAAAGCCGCAGCGCGCGGAGTCAATTCACGCTCCCTCGGCCGATTAATTTGACGCGCGAGTCCTCGCGGATAATTTGTCATCCGTTAAAGCGCTCTTATGTGGCGGCATCTGGAATATCGAACGTTAAAGCAGGTCGGGGGTTGTGAGTATGCTTAATGATGAGCAGCGACTTGATGATGCTGAAACGCTGGATCAGTTAGATGACTGTGCAACAGAAATTCCGAGATGTCGATTAATCATTGATAGTGGCCAAAAATAGAATGCTTCGCTATTATTGGTAAGCGAAAATTTCGAAAACAAAGAGGAGCTGAGTTAACTTGCAAATATCGCAATATTCGCAGTGATGTTTGATGCCTGTAAAGAACAACGTTATAAGATAATTTTAAAGAAGAGAGCATATAAAAATAGGATCGTGTATTTGATAAGAGAAAAATTTGTGAAAATTTATCTCCTACAATTCTTAGTTAGATTCTAATATATACTGCCAATCATAACGTTCCAATTATATTGCGTTTAATTATAATATCTATTATACAATGTAAATAGATATTAATTACAAAAGTACGTGCGAAAATAAATTGGAGCGTTGTTTGATATGCGACGAGAACGAATGTGAATTTCAAAACTGACACGCCGTAGCTGTCAGCGTAAATATTTACGTAACACAAAAATCCTGCGGTTTGTACGCATCGAGTGTGCCGATGCTCCAATTAGGAAAGTTCCAAGAACAAAAAAGCGTTTCTATATCTTTCTAATAAAACCTATCTCGTTTAGAATCCCGCGCAATGATTTTCCACGCAAGTCCTAACGACCGTGTAATGGCACCTTTCACACATCCGTCTCGAGTGGCAAATCGATTTCGAGACGAGCGAAATTGGTTACAAGCCGGCCGTCCGTCGCGAAACAAATCAGTCCGACGAGAAAAACTCACGACGCGGATGGCCACGTCCGCCGTGTGGGAGTTCGGCGACGACGTTGTGCGCGGTGCTGACGTGACGAGACGGGTCGTGGAGCACGCGGAGAATCGCGCGCGCTTTCAGGCGAGCGCTTCGAAGCCGACGTTGCGTGGAAATGTCCGGCAATATGCGCAAGCCCTGCACCGTCAAGCGGACGAGCTGTGCCAACGGTAACGGTGATCGATACTAGCCATTAATGATATCAAACGCGGAACCGCATTAATTCCGCGTCCTACTTCATATTTCATAAGTTTCGATCAGCCCGGCGAATGAGACGCGAGCGTGACGCCGGTTGATCTCTCGCGGCGGCCGAGCGGGACAATACCGTCGCTCTTTCGAGACGATCGATTTAGCGTTAAAAAGGCCGTTAAGTCTTAATTGGTTTTTTCCTCTTTGCAACGATGAATTTCCAACTGGCTCGGCTGCGCCTTTATGCGGCCTTATCGCTTTGTCTCGTCTCTAGGAGGAGGACTCGCGCGTCGGCCGGTGAATACGTGTAACAATAACAGGGAGGAAAAGCTATTGTACGCTTTCACGTCCTGTAATTTTCATCTGGAAATCGGATCTGGACGGATGAATGTGGAAATGATCACAATATATTTCTATTAGCTTAGTTACGTCAAAAATGTCGATATTTTATGCGGGTACGGTACTGATTGACGCGTGCAACAAGCGATAAAAAGTTTATGCGAAAGGCTGGAAAGCTTTCTGTTTTAAATATCGCATCGCGTATTGTTAAGGTGCATTTCAACGGATCGATGAGTCTAGATCATTCGATGCTTTTAGTTAAAATGGTAATCTCTCGCTCTCTCTCTTTTTTCTCTTTTTTTTTCTGGTTAGATGCCTACGTTATGCTGCGTTTCGGTATATTCTCTGCATGCGAACTTTCCTCGGACTATGTTGCAGCGAGGCGAAATTATTATCGATAGAAAGTCGCATAACTTTGCAGAGCGGACTATTTCGAATTTAAAACACGTTACAACCTATCGTAGTCGTCATCGTCGTCGTTGAAGTGCAAGCATTTTGGTCGCTCCCGGGAGAAAAAATGGGTCATGGGGAATATCGGAAATATTGCCAATATGTCGTTTTCCTGAAAGAACATTCGACGGGAATATCGCTTTACAAACAGACTGGTATTTAGCTTTTGCGGGTAGCTATGAACATTTTAATTCCACAAATAGATTTTCTCTCTCTTCCCTTTCGCCTCGATAACTCGATAGATCCATAAACAGCCCGCGGCTTGACACACGTGCGCCAATGAGACGACCCGTCAGGTTTTTTTTCGCGAATTTCACAGTTAACTATAAAACCAACGTCACCGTTGCGACTTTACAAAACGTTTGACCTCCAGGCAGAATTATAAGATACTTACCACTTTGCCGACCGCACTTCGTGCAAGTATTAATAAATTATCCAATATACGTAGCATGTATTTTTATATTTTTACCTTCGTTATATTTACAACCTTATATTCCACACGTTTGCACCAAACGCGCCCGTGCTAAATTTCATCCTGGAACGATAACGTATTTGCCGACACGTTGATCGTCATGGAAGCCACCGTGGGTGAGCCTCAGTCAGATAAATGTGTCACGCATTATGTAGCGGCGGTATGGTTAATCATAATACGCGATATTTTATCTTCACGCGTTTGCGACAGTAAACATTTCATCGCGACATAGACATCGTGACAAGGCATGTAAAATTCGCCGGGCGGTTAATGCGTTGATGAGAGTAACAATGGTTTAATAAATTCCCGTCGGGAATTTCGCATTAAATCCCGCTTGCGTAAGCGCATGGGCGTTTAAACAATAATTTATCGACGAGACCGAGCATGATTTAAAATTCGGCACGCGTAAATCACACACAGCGGCGAGTACGAGTCGGCGCTGGTGCTGTATCATCGAGCGGCCACCGTCTGCCCGCACGACAGCAGCCACAGCGTGGCAGCTCGACGCACCGCGGCTACGATAAGCTCATGGAGTAATCCGGAGAAAAGCTCGAGGCTGTCGGCGAATACGAGGAGCGACGCAATTTCGAGGGTGACTTCGTGTCCCGAGAGCGCGATGCTCAGAGTGCCTCGTGACGCCTCCAAGTCCTCCGATCTGTCGATTATCTCCAGTATCCTCAGGTGAGTGTGAAATCAATCCGCCGGGCTTACGTGTAAACGCGGACGACGGCCCCGAAAACGGCGAT